TTAACAAGACAGAAATCTGTTCTCCCACAGTGCGGAGGCCAGAAGTCTGAGATCCCGGCCTGGGCAGGGCCACTCTCTTGGTGGTGGCCGGGACTCCATGCCATCCTTGGCCGGAAGCTGTTACCACCCAATCTGCCACACTGTTCCATGCCTTCTCTCCATGTGTCTGCGTCCAAACCCCCTCACACAAGGACCCGGGTCGTGTTGGGTCCAGGGCCAGGATAACCTCGCCTTAACTAAGTGAATCTGCAAGGCACCGGCTCCCAAAGGCCCCTGGCTATGGAAGGCACGTGTGGGTGGATGTCCGGGGAAATGGATGAATGAGCAGACAGAGAGCTGACCCTGCCACCAGACTGGAAAGGAAAAGCCTGGGCTTCCAAGAAAATTCCAGTTTGTGCTGATGATTTTTCTCTTTTCCTCTACCTCCGTGTATGTTTTGACTGTTCTTTCTCAAATGTGAATCCTTTCAACTTCACTGCCCCTCCTCCATTCTCACTTCCTGTTTCCTGCCTCTCATCTGAGCTGTTTCAGAACTTGAAACCATCAGGGCCTCATAAGAAGCAAAGGTGGGACTTTCTCCTGCTGCCTGACGCCACACAGGTCCCAAGCAGCTTCCTGTGTCATCCTGGGGCTGCGGGGCCTGGGCGGTGAAAAGCGCTGGCAGGGAGAGCCCCCGGGGCGTGATGCAGACCTGCCTCGGTCCTCGGAGGCCAGGCAGCCTTTCTCATGTCCCGTTTTATTTCCACTTGTCTGCAGGGCAAACTCCTACGCAGGCACCTTACAAGGCCAGCTCTGGCTTTGACCTTGGGGAGCTTTCTCCTTCACCCAAGAGACTCTGAGCTCATCTCAGACTGTGTCTCAGAAAACCAGCAAGACTCATAGTGCTAGCTGCTCACTGCCACCAACGTCCTTGCTAGCTCCTCCCATTACAGTGCCTTAGTCAGCTGGGGCCACCATAACAAAATGCCACGGACTGAGAGAGAGAGAACCAGAAAGACTGAGTGACAGAGAGTGAATGAAAAAGAGGGCTCTGGTGTCTCCTCTTTTAAGAGCATGGATCCTATCAGACGAGGGTCTCACCCTTATGACCTCATTTTACCTTAATAATGTCCTTACCCCTAATATAACCGCACTCGGGGTTAGGGCTTCAATGCACACATTTTGGGAAGACACAAACTTTCAGCCCATAGCGCACACACTATGTAGTTGAGACCATTGAACCTCTGTTCATAGGACCACAGAACTCAGAGACCCCTCCCTCCACAGGCGGAGAAAGCAGGCAGAGCTCAGCTCAGGTACCAACACTGAAAGCAGAGAGCACGGTTAATGCCCATAGAGACACTGGTTCCAGGGACAAGGAGCATGCTCATCCTGTGTGCTTGTGCATGTGTGTGAGGATGCTGGGTGTGTGCCTCTGCATGTACACACACACACACACACACACACACACACACATGAGTGTGTGAGTGCCAGTATGCACATGCACGTGTAAGTGTTCAAGCATGTGTGTGTGCATGTACACACCTACATGTGAAAGTGTGAGTGTGTGAGTGTATAAGTGTGTGTGAGTGATATGCATGCACATATCAATGTGAGAGTATGGATGTGCATGAGTGTGCATAGGTGGGAGTGAACATGTGTGAGTGCGCACATATGAGTGTGGACATGTGTGAATGTGCCTGTATTATGTATGCATATGAGAGTGTGAGTGCGAGTGTGTCTGTGTGCATGCATGAGTGTGAGTGTGCATATGTGTGTCCTTTAATCCACATCACACCAAGGAGGCTGCACCAAGAGTGAACCGGGATCTTTGCTGGATGAACTTGTGGCCGAGCACACTCTGAAGGTGACAGACATAACATGCCAGTTATGGTGCATGGTTATTTCCTCTTCAGAGTGTTTACATGAAAAAGGCAGATGTGGAAAATCCCTACCGTCATCATGCAGAAGAATGTGCCTCCATAATAACTGGAGGAAGAAACCCATTGAAGATAAAATTCACACACACACACACACACACACACACACACATTCTTCTTGTGCCTGTATGAGAGGGAGGTTGAGGGAGGATCAAGCTAGAAACAGACTGTCAATTTTGAGGGTTTTGTTACGTTATATGAGTTTCAATATAAAGAGAAAACATGTGTGACGACATTTAATGGAGAATTTCAAATTAGAGTGAAGTGCCCCGCTGGTAAAATGTCTTGGCTTTGCCACCCTCTGTTGGAGGCCGTGGCTGGATGTTCTGTTGGCTGGCACTGTGACCAGCCAGGGAGTGGAGGGGCGTGGAGCACCAAGGGCTCGGCCTTTGGGGCCGAATGTCCCACTCACTGGCTGTGGGCCGCTCTGACCCTCAGCTTCTTCTTCTGTGCAGTGGGGATAAGGGACCTCCTTCGTAGGGTCGTCCCGAACATGAGAGAAAATGGTACACGGCACCAAATTCAAGTTTTAAAATGTATCCTTATACTTGATTTCACCTTCATATTTTAATGAAATGGCCATACATTATAGGAGCCAAACGTTCTAAGAGATGATATAATAGAATGTCATCATAGAGAATCATCTCACATTTTTTAACATTGAGATTTCCCTAAATTACAATATATTTTGGATTTTGTACAAAATATATTGTAATTGAATATTATGTATCTCTTGAATATTGTATAACTGGAGGCCCAATGCACCAAGATTTGTGCAAGAATAGGCCTTCCTTTCCCTGGCTGCCGGCACCCAGGACCCGGGCTTTCACTCTGGCTGCCACCTTCCACCTTCACTTCAGTCCAGCCGTCCGCCTTTGCAGACTGCCAAGAGGCCTGGAGCGACTGGGGTGGGGCAGAATACCTGCGTCGTCACCATGACAATGATGCAAGTGGCCCGGCCGCCATCTTTGTCGCATAAATTTGCATATCCCCTACTTATTGGCTGTGGGCACCGCCATCTTTGTCATGAAGTGATGGCCAATTTGCATATTCTGTCTATTAGATAGGATAGCTTTAAAATGTGTTCTTTTCCTTTTTTTTCTTTCATTTTTTAAATTAAGGTATTATATGTGTACACATCTTACCAATTCCCCCCACCTCCATACATGTCCTCCCTCCCCAGAGTTTTGTGTACATTGGTTATGCTTAAATGCTTGCATACAAGTCCTTTGGTTGTTCTCTTATTGCCCCCATATCTCCCTCCCCTCCCCACTGAATTTGACAGTTTGTTTCTTTACTCTCTCTGTATTTATCTTTTTGTTCATCAGTTTATAATGTTCCTTATTATCCATAAATAAGTGAGATCATGTGACGTTTTTATTTCATTGACTGGCTTATTTCACTCAGCATAATGTTCTCCAATTCCATTCAGGTTGCTGCAAATGATAAGATTTCTTTCTTTTTTATGGCAGCATAGTATTCCATTGTGTAGATGTACCATACTTTTTGGATCCAATCATCTGCTGACGGGCACCTAGGCTGTTTCCAAATTCTGGCTATTATAGGTTGTGCTGCTATAAATATAGGGGTGCATATATCCTTTCTGATTGGTGTTTCTGGTTTCTTGGGATATATTCCTAGGAGTGGGATCACTGAGTCAAATGGGAGTTCCATTTTCAGTTTTTTGAGGAAACTCCATACTGTTCTCCACAGTGGTTACACCAGTCTGCATTCCCACCAGCAGTGCACGAGGGCTCCTTTTTCTCTGCATCCTCGCCAGCACTAGTCGTTTGCTGATTTGTTGATGATAGCCATTCTGACAGGTGTGAGATGGTACCGCATTGTCGTTTTGATTTGCATCTCTCAGATAATTAATGACTTTGAGCATGTTTTCATGTGCCTCTTGGCCTTCCTTCTGTCTTCTTGGAGAAGATTCTATTTAGGTACATTGCCCATGTTTTAATTGGTGTATTCTTTTCTTATAGAGACCTTTTTAAACCTCCCTTCCGGCACCGTGAGGGTCAATGAGTCAATCCTGCTCTCCTGGTTCTCTGTAAAGAGTGCTGTCTCCCAGGAGACTGGTGTTGAGTCCCTTAACTGCGTGATTAATTCTAGCTCCCTTTTTGGTATTCTTGTCCTAGCCTGTGTCATTTCCCCGTTAACCATGCAAACGCAGCAGCCAGTCATCTCAGAGGTTAATCTTCGGAGAACAGGAGACACAGCAACGCGGTAACGGTGATGCGGGCGCCAGGCGAGAGGCTCCCTCTGGAAGCGCTGTGCAGGGTTTCACACACAGGGGATGCACCGTCAGCCCCGATGGGGCTCTGCTGCCCTAATTGGAAGTCTTCTCAGCAGAATTAATGAGATCCTCACCTACTGTTCAAAATCGTGCCTCGGTTTTCAATGCCACGCACTGAAAACAACCCACCGGGGGAACGAGACGGCGCCCACCAGACAGTGTTTAGTAGGAGATTTGGATCTGTTTCACATACAAGATCATGGCTGCTGACATAAAACGGAGATCAGCCATCACTCTGTCACCCTCACCATAGTTCCTTTTATTTCTGCGTCCTTTTCCGGGCCGTGCCCGTTGGTATAGATCACACAGAGTCGTGGTCTTTATGGGGACAGACTGTATGAGCTGCCGCTGTGAAGGTTTGTTTTCCTGCTGCTAAATGCCTTCAGGCGAGCCAAAACAGGTTTGGCTCAGTGGACAAAGCGTCGGTCTGTGGACCGAGGGGTCCCAGGTTCGATTCCAGTCAAGGGCATGTACATTGGTTGCAGGCACATCCCCAGAGGGGGGGTGTGCAGGAGGCAGCTGGTCGATGTTTCTCTCTCATCGATGTTTCTAGCTCTCTAGCCCTCTCTCTTCCTCTCTGCAAAACATTAATAAAATATATTATATATATAAAAAAAAAAAAAGCCTTCAGGTGAGCCTGCCATTGTGTGTGGGATGTCACGTCAGATGCTCTGTGGTACTTTACCCTCCCGTGCTCCTGCGATGCTCACTTGATGCTTTTCCCTGTGAAATCCTGACAGGTAGCGAGCATCTCCGGGACCACAGCGTCCTGGCCCAGGCAGGTCCTCCAGAGCCATCGCTGGGTTGAGGGGAGGGACATTTCCAGGGCTTTTGATCTGCAGTGTCCACTTGTGAGAAGGATGCTTTTCTGAATCTGATGGACCACTTTGATTGAATGCTGTTGTCTCCTGCCAGCCCGCGGCGGTAAGCTTCAGAGAGCGCTTTGTACCTGACGGAGGGAGTCAGATTCGGGTCTGCAATGTGTTTTCTGCGTAACAACAAGATGGGATGCAGCGATGCAGCCTGGCGGGTGGCTACTCGCCTTTCCTCAAAGATGCCGTCTGCCCGGAGGGAGAGCGGGCGGTGACAGGCAGGCGCCCCCGGGGACGTGGCCATGGCGGTGGCAGGCGCTAACAAGAAGGCATAAGGGACTGCTCCCAGGAGCACATCCTCTGAAGCCATTGCCTTCGCTGGCGGCACAGGGAACAGAAGGGCCCTCTCTGCAGCCCAGCGGGCCAGGCCCCTTTGTGCTTCTGCTCAGGAGAGGCCCGGAGCTGCCACCACTGCGCGACCATGCTCAGGACGCTCGGGCTGGCCCTGCTGCCTCTGCTCAGCACCGTGGGCTCCGGCCAGGCCAGCGGCTTCACAGGTGAGGGGCCCCGGCCCAGGGCAGGTGGTGCCGGAGGAGGGAGCTCCAGGGGGTAGGGGCAGCAGCCCCGCTGAGAGCTGGGCAGAGGGTAGCATCTGTGCTTCTCACCACACTTTCCTGCAGCCACCAAAGAGATGGCGTGTGTGCCCCCGAGTGCCCTGGGGGCCTGTGGTTCAAATGCAGATTCTGAGCCAACGGTCCGGGTGGGACCTGGAACTGTGCATTCCTGCCGGTGATGCGGGGAAGCAGGCCCACAGGCCATCCTGGGAGTGGGTGCAGATGAGGTGTCCAGGCCTTTGGTCCTTGACTTACAGAGGAGACCGAGGCCCGGGGGTCAGGACCTCGCCCCAGGCCACACACTCAGCCAAGGGTGGTTTCCACGGGGGACCCTGACAAGGAGCCCTGAATGGGGTCTCTGTCCAGCTGCCCCTCACCTTGGCCTCTGTCAGCCCCCGTTTCCTCAGTGGTAAGTGAGGACCGAGGTGGCCCACCGGGGAGCGAGGCGCTGAGTCGGGGCACCTGTCCAAGGCCTTTGCCCGGCACAGGGCCAGCTGCTAAAAAACATTGATTTCTGAAGCCCCAGATTTCAAAGAATTGAGATCAGAAACCTTTAAATCACTGTTCTCCTGCGATCTGTCTCATTCAGTAGGGAACTCAACCAGGTCCGTTCTGTTCCTATAATCACTTCAGTTTTTTCCAGTTTGAGGTTTTCGACCCATAAGCAGGATTTTGGTTTCGTTGTGATGGTTCTCACCCGATTTCCCCTCTGGAGTGGGTAACGCGTGAAGGAGTGGGACTACGGCGGAGCTAGGGGAGACCTGGGAGTGCTGCATGACCCCTCGTGGTACCCGTGAGGACATGGGGACAGAAGCACAGCGATGCTCAGAGTCCCACATCTACTCGTCTTAGGCGCTGTTTCTGCCTTTGCAGGCATCCAGACAGGGCTCCTACAACCCAGGGCACAGCTAATACTGTACAAATGACAGGATGGGGCACTGGGGGAGGGAGGGAGGGCATGAAACGGGCTCCGAACCACACGGCTGGCGATTGTGGAGCTGCTGTGCCTCAGGTCCTCTGACCTAGGGCTCAGGCTCTGGAGCATGAAGAGGTCCCGCCTCTGAGCTCAGAGCCCAGAGCCCAGGACCCCCATCTCCCACGCTGATGGCCCTCGAAGGGGCTTGCTGAATGGCAGGATCTGCGAAGGGGTGTCTACTCCAGGCTCTGCCGAGAAGCCGGGCTCGGAGAGGACCCGGGGGCCTCTGGGAGAATGTAAACAACAGAACCAAACAAGTCGTTCCCAAGTGCAGTTTCACAGGAGAGGCATGTCGTGTGGTGTGTGTGCCAGTGACCAGCTGGGACCTTGCCATGACCAGCTGGGACCTTGCCCTGATCAGCTGGGGACCGGTGACTCTCTGGAGATAAGGACAAGGTGCCAACCACTAATGAAGGCTGATATCTCATCTCGGGTTAAGACGAGAAAAACAGGATCTAGCCGCACCTTGCCAAATTCTCCATGCAGGAAGTCCTTGTGCCTTTGTCTTGTGAGTCGACCCCTTTCATGGCGGCCATTGCCCCTAGCCCCTTCTCCAAGTCACCTCTAAGCTCTGGGCTAAGTGACCTTGGTCCCAGAGACTGATTTCTCCTGACCCACCCACCCACCTACCCACCAAGAGGCCTCCCATTTCTTCCCAAAGCTTACTGTCGCCCACCCTGTTGGTGGAGATGGGCAGCAGGTGTCTCCACCCCCAGAGGCCCTGCCACCCCCAAAGGTGACGAGGAGGCAGCCAGCGGTTCCTGTGGCTGTGGGGTGGGCTCGCTATGGGGTGGGGTAATGCAGCACTGCATTCACCCCAGGGTAAGGCCGAGGGTCCTCCCACCAGCCCGGGCTGAGGGCAGCTCAGTCCATTTCCTCCTGGGGGTCACTAGCCCTCCTGCGTCTCGCCGTCCGCGCACTCGGGCGCTGTTGTGAGGCAGACTATTCAGGGGTGCTGCTTGTTGCTGGGATGAAGAGGATCGATGCCGCCATCCCTGAGTTCCTCTCCAGAAACCCAGCTTCTCCCTGAGGGCTGTACACTGTCACATTGAGCGCCTACCCATTGGCTGCACCGTCTCCTAGAGCTTGGAGCTCAGAGGTCGAGAATCTGAGTGTGTGAAGTGCATTCAGACCTTGCATTCTTCTTGCACTGAGAGCCCTGTGCGGGCTGTGTGAGCTCCCGGGGGCCATGGCCTGAGCTTCAGCCTGGACGAAGTACCACAGGCTGGGAACTGAAACAGTGGGGATCAACTCCCTCCCAGCTCTAGAGGCAACGGGTCTAAGATCAAGGTGTCAGAAGAACTGATTCCTCCTGTCGGCTGTGAGAGAGACCCTGCCGCACCCTCTCCCCAGCTCCTGCTGGCTGCTGGCCCTCTTGGGCTCCTTGGCCTGTGGACTATCACCCCAATCTCTGCCTTCATCTTCATGTGGCCTTCTCCCTGTGCCCCCTCCTGTCTCTGTGTCCAAATTCCTTCTGTCCTATTGGGTGGGGGCCGCCCTACTACAATATAACCTCATCCTAACTGTATCTGCAAAACCCCTATTCCTACACAAGGTCACCTTCTGAAGTACTGGGAGTGAGGACTTAGCATATGAATTCTGGGTGGGTGTGGGGCACAGCTCAGCTCATAACAGTCCCTGCTATATGAGACAACTGAGGCCCCAGGGCAGAGGGGATGGCCCAAGGCCGCAGGGTCCATGACAAAGAGGCACAGGACTGGAGATGGCAGTGGCACCACAGGGTCAGAGCCTTGAGTGATCATGCTGATGAAGGGGCCACGGGCATAGAACCCAGTGTCATCCTACAGGCGGGCGCTATGCCCTCATCTCTCAATGATGACAGTAACAGTTGGGCTGACCTTGACTATCGATGATTCCTCACATGTTTATTTGATCTTCCATCTCATTCCTTTAAAAGGGTGCACTCACTCTCTGAGCCTGGTGCGTAGGACGCCTTCAGTACACAGTTACTGTGGGAATTGTGACTGATGCACTCGTCTTGGGACAAACTGTGGCTCGTGGAGAGTGAGACGTGCGGACAATTCTCCTGGCTGCAGAGTCATAGAAGTCTGCCTCCTCCATGTCTCCCTCCTGTGTCCCTGGGGCTGGGCCCAGCATGGCTCCGCCTTGTGGCTGCTCCGTGTTCTGTGGAGGAGGGTCTCTCAGTGGGCAGGTCTCTGTTCACGCTCTATCCCTCCGCGTTTCCGCTGCTGTCCTGACTTCTCAGTGGGCTGGTGGGCAGATCCTGAGAGAACAGGAATGCAGGGATCTTGTTTCACTGGCTTCTGCAGAAGCCTGATAACCCCTCACATCGATCTGACTCTGGTGTTTGTTCTTCCTTTGGCTCCTGCATCCTCCCTGCCCCCTCACAGACAAAGGCCTGTCCTTGCTGAGCTACCAGCTGTGCAACTACAGCGTGACCCAGAATGTCCAGAAGGTGGAGGCCGTCCGGCTGTCCCACGTGACCTACGCCCCCTGCGGTGGGTGGATCCCGTGGAGGCGGTGCCCCAAGACCGTTTACAAGACCCGGTACCTGGCCGTGGACGTCCCCGAGCCCAGGAACGTCACCGACTGCTGCCAGGGCTATGAGCAGCTGGGCCTCTACTGCGTCCTGCGTGAGTCCGGGGTGGCGGGTGGGCTGTGGGCCTCTCCCTCAAGTCCTTCCTTCTCCCCGGGGGGCCTGATGAGTCTTGGGGTCGTTACTGTTCACATCTACTAGCCCTGAAAGTTTGAGATCTTTCTGAAACGCGGGTTCCTAACCTTGAGCATCAGGATCCTGTGGAGGGCTTGTCCAAGCACACATCGCTGGCCCAGCCCTGGCTTCAGATCCAGGGTGTCTGGGTGAAGTTCAAGGTCCCAGGTGGTGCTGATGCTGCTGGCCCAGGGTTCCGGTGTGAGAATCTTTTGCTCAGGAGCCGGGGCTCCCAGACCTCCCTGCATACCCAAGGCCCCGGGGCAGCTTTAAGAACACTGATGCCAGGCCCTGTGCTTGGAGATTGGGATGGGCTTGGCTTGAGGCCGTTGGGATGTTTTTAAAGTTCCCCAGGCTGCTGATGCCGAAACCGGTTTGGCTTAGTGGTAGAGCATCGGTCTGCGGACTGAAAGGTCCCAGGTTCGATTCCGGTCAGGGGCATGTACGTTGGTTGTGGGCACATCCCCGGTAGGGGGTGTGCAAGAGGCAGCTGGTCGGTGTTTCTCATCGACATTTCTAGCTATCTGTCCCTCTCCCTTCCTCTCTGTGAAAAATCAATAAAAATATATATATTTTTTTTAAAAAAAAGTTCCCAGGCTGCTAACCCATCGCTGCATTTGAGAACCAATCTGGCAGTCTCTTCTGTTGCAGTCGACTTTTCTTGTTAAAAGTGGTGGTGGCTCCTTTTTTTTAAAAGTCTGGAATCCCAATCTGGACTCCCATATATGAAAGGGATGGAAGGGGTCCCCCAGGACCCTGTAACTGCTCAGAGGCCCCAAGTCCTCTTCCTTGCTCGGTGTGGTCTGGAAGATTCTTGGGGTGGTTACCAGGGTGACCGGTGGGAGTGTGCTGGGCCAGTGTCTGAGGCCAGGTGGGCTGTGCCGTGTTGGGGCTCAGGGCTCAGCCTCTCGGTGGAAAGGGAACTTTCCAGAAGGCCTCTTCCAGGGGAAAGGGTGCACATGTGAGTGTGTGTGTGTGGGCAGTGGCGATTGCTACATCTGAGTCAATACCAGATCTCAATGAGTTTCTGGGCAGTCAGAGGTACCTCTGTCCCTGTCCTGTCACGGAGGGGAAGTGGGAAGGGTGTGACTTCAGCGAGTGCCCACGCGGTCACCCTGAGTTGGGAGGGGCACCATCTCCAGGGTGCAGAAAGCACCACTCAGGCGGGTCCCAGAGGGGATCCCACTGGACCCAGACCTGGGCCCGAGGCGAAGGCGTGGCCACACACACCAGGGGCGACCGAACCGTAGCCTTGTGTCCGGTAGCCCAGCAGAAGGCCGCATGGGCCTGGCACGCTGAGTCATGCTGAGCCTCCTCCCTCAGGCCCCCTAAGCCACTCAGCCACCACGGCCTTAAAACGGAAGAGCATCGAGGACACGCGTGGCATTTCTTTCCGTCTAAGTTTACATTTTATTTTTAAATTCAGAGTTAGGAATGCGGGGATGACTCACCCATCACTTTATTGAAATGTGACTTTTTACTATAATTACAAATATGCATACACGAGCCACGCAGAAACTCTGGGAACAAAGACGAATCTCCCAGGGGCAGGGATGCCATTTCCACAGACGGGATCAGAGGGCTGGGCACAGGGGGATGTCCTGACGGCTCAGGGCTGTGTCTCCCAATGACACCATTGTTCCAAACTCTGCCACCACCAATAAGAACCAGATAGGGCCGGCTGACCTCAGGGCAATGGCTTGGAGCCAGTTGTATATGCCCGTTGGCTCTCTAAAGAGTGCTGAAGGGAGGGGCTGACCCCTGGAGACCTCATCCAGATTCCTGGGTGCTGGGTAGGAGTCCCTCCCTGTGCTGACTCCTGCTCCCTCTCCGCTCTCCGTGTCTTCAAGGGCACATGCGCAAAGGGGTGGCCAGCTGAGCTGCTTGCCCATGCCCTGGGAGCACCTCTCTTCCTGGGGGGTGGGGGTCCCATTGTTTGTGGAGACCTTGGTATGGAGCACCAGAATCCAGGGGAGAAAGGCAGGTGTGCCCTCTTCCATTTGTCTTCACCTGTGAAGGCCACACAGGCCAAAACCTGCTGGCTGTGGGCGGGGCTAGTGAGGTCACAGGTCACAGTGGCCTGGAGGAGGGTCCAGGATTGGCTGAGCCACACAAGCCCCACCCACCAAAGGGTGACCTTTCTGTGAGGGCTGCTGCCCTGCTGAGCTGAACAAGTCAAGTGTCCAAGGAGAGGAGGCAGGGAGGGCCGTGCTCCTTCCCCACCACCTGCCTCTCATCGTTTTTCCCCTCAACACACCAGCCACCAGGAAATGACTCTCCTGGGACATCCACCCCACTTTTAAAGTGTCGGCACCTTTAATTAGGAGCTCACCAGGTGGATTGAGGGCCGGAACCTTCTAGTTAGAGAGTCCCATGGGCAGGGCTGCTCTGGGGAGTTAGGGGTGTGGCTAGAATAAGGAGAGTGGGGCTATGGGGGTGGGGGGAGGACAAGATGAGCACCTGGACACCAGAACTGCCCATGGTGGAAGCATTTACATGATGGGCATTGGGCCATACAACCTCCTCCACACTGGCACAGCTCTTTCTTCAGAGCCTGTTTGATTAGATCTCATTCAGAGCAACCTAGCGACAGGCTGGCTCTTTGGAAACTGAAGAGATTCAGTCTCTGTGAGGGATCGATCCCCCGACCACTGGTTGCTTTGCACAGGTCGGGGCAGAGGCCAAACCCTGGCTGTGGTTGCTATGGGGACAGACTGGACATCTGGGAGGACAGGTGAGCCTAGGGTAGGGGTGTCGAACTCAATCAGAGAAGGGGCCAAAATCTAAAATCCAGCCTAAATCGCGGGCCGAATGGTTTACTGAACAGTCATAAACTGTCATTGTGATGGAAACACAGGGGAGTGCAGTGATGACAGCGCGGTGCGGGCCACATTGCAAGGCCTGGTGGGACGGATTTGGCCCTCGGGCCTTGTGTTTGACACATGTGGCCTAGGGGGAGAATTGTGTCTTGGCAACCCAGTGCTCTCCGCCCACAGGCCTCATCTCCAGGCAGTAGGGAGACTCCGACGAGCTTCCTCCTTTCCCCTCCCACTCGGCAGCCGAGCAACTCAAAAGGGAAGAGCGTTATGAGAACACAGGGGCATGCCTTTTCGTCTAAATGGCTTTCAATTTCTAAAAACCCAGCCTTTGGGAGGCCATGAGAACTCATACATCATTATTATTTTTTTAAAATGCATCTTTGTGCTGTTGTTACACAAAAGGAGGCAAACGCCATGCAGGAAATCTGGGGCACAGAAGAGAACACGGGGACCTCACCGACACGCCACCCTGTTCCCCAGAGCTGAGCCCCTGCGCACAGACTCTTCTCTCTCCGTGCAGGGCAGGCACGTTACAAAGGGGGGCACCCCGCCTCAGACTTCTCTGTGACATGCCTTCACCATTTGGCAATGCATTTGGGCCACGTTTCATGTCAGTAAATATTGTCCTGCGGCATGAGTCAACGGCCACATGGCATTACCTCACAGGGATGCATCAGCCTGTAGCCATTGCCCACATTTCACATCCAGTTGCTTCCAAGTTTTCATCATTGTCCATCACGCTGCCACAAGCGTCTGATGGTGCAAACGCTGCTGCACACCCGGGGTGGCACTAACTGAGCATCTGCCGGTGCTGGCCAACTGCAGTGACCCCCTGGTTTCCCCTCAGCCTTCCTTCACCACGGCTCCATCACCGTGGCAGAAGGACCCCACTGCGCCCCGAGACTACCCCAAACTCCCCGGCCCCCAGGAGTGAGAAAGATATTCCAGAAGGATCACCTTTCTGAGCCCAGGAGGCCTCAGCGCTGCCACCACTCAGACAGAACCCCTGTGGGTGTCCCCTAGCGCCGTGACTGTAGCCTCAGGTTGCCAGGCGCGGGCGGAGCAGTCCTGGTTCATTGTCTGCGATGAGATAGTGGAAAGAGGAGCTGGTTTCTGACTTTCTACCAAGTTGGAGCTGTTGACTGTTATCTTGGGCTCTCAGCGAGCACTAGGCCTGTGGGGAGGGAGGCGGGAAGTCCCCACAGTGAGCAGGTCCAGATGAACGTGAACGGGAAAACATGTCTGTGGTGATTGACAACCATTCTTGGCCACTGATTTTTCTTGGTGGCCTGTACTTTCTTTCCATTCAGTAAACCTTTTCGTGTAGAATAGTTTATTTTTATTTTTAAAAATATATTTTGTTGATTTTTTACAGAGAGGAAGGGAGAGGGATAGAGAGCTAGAAACATCGATGAGAGAGAAACATCGACCACCTGCCTCCTGCACACCTACTACTGGGGATGTGCCTGCAACCAAGGCACATGTCCTTGACCAGAATCGAACCTGGGACCTTTCAGTGCGTAGGCTGACGCTCTATCCACTGAGCCAAACCAGTTTCTGCAGTATGTAGAATAATTTAGATTGAGAGACAAGTTGCAAAGGTGGCAGAGTTCCCCATACCCTTCCACAGGTCCCCGTGTGTGAGTGTCTTGTGTCACCATCGGATACACGTCCCCACGAAGCAACCCACATTGGTGCATAGTTGTTCTATTTGCCTGAGCACTTCATTTGGATTTCCCTTTCTTTCCTCCTAATGTCATTTTTCTGTCCCAGGAGCCACCTCACATTTAGCCTCAGGTCTCCCTAACTGTAAGGTGCTGGCTTTTAGGACGGGAAGAGAGCAATCCTTGGTTGTTGGCCCCACGGGGACGCTGGAACTTCTGTCCCAGGGGCTCTCTGGGTGGCACCGCTTGCCCCTATTTTACGCCCCCAAAGCCAGTCCCTGTGGCGATGTCTCCAGGACTTTAGACATCAGCACGGCGCTGCCCAGGCCTGGCCCCCGCCCTTGAGCAGCGGCACGGTGCTCTCTGTGGTCCACAGACGGAGTGAGAGTCAGGAGATAGCCCGGGTGTTGTCTGAGCAGGTCAGCTGGTTTGTATTGCTGACATCCTTAGCTGCTCATTGCTCTCTCCAGCCCTGAATCGGTCTGGGGAGTTTGCATCCAGACCCGGCGTCTGCCCGAAGGAGGGCCAGGAAGCATCCACCTCGCCGTGTACCCTGGACGCCGACTGCCCCGGACTCCAGAAATGCTGTTCCTTTTCGTGGGGCCCCCGCTGTGTGGCCCCTGCACCCCAAGGTAGGACTGAGACCTGCAGCAAAGCAGGTGCCAGCGAGGCAGCCGCCCATGGGCGGGGGCCCGGTCCTGACCTGGTGAAGGTTGGGGAGTGATTTCCAGGAACCTCAGCCAAGGCCACGATATCACGGGGAGTCCTCAGCTGTGTGTGGGCACATCCCTCTCTCACTCAGTGCAACGTCTCTGCAACGTCTCTGACTGCTGACCCCTCAGGGGGTGGGGGTGGGGAGAGCTCACAGGCCCTCCTGGCAGAGCAGTGACCCAAGTTTACCCAGTTGCCTGGGGCACCCTATGGTTCCATGTCAGGTGGCACTTACTGGAAGCCAACCTGCCTGGTAGCTGCTCCTGAAACGCCACAGGGGCCCGAAATCCTGTGCATAGCACCTGCCTGGCAGGCCCGTGGCCCAGCCCTCAGGGCATGCCTATCTGGTCTGGAAGGTTCTGGTCTTGACCTTGACCTTGGAGAATGGGTCGGTCAAGGTTCAGATCTAAGGATAAATATATCATGGTCATTGTCCAGGCTGGGTCGTTCAGTTGGTTGGAATGTTGTCCTATCACCAAAAGGCTGCAGTTTTGATTCCATAACCTAGGTATGTGCTGGGCAAGGCAGATGCTTAGGTTATGGGTCTGATCCCCAGTTGGGACCCATATGGGAGGTAACCAATTGATGTTTTTTTCTCACATCGATGTTTCTCTCTCTTTCTCAAAATCAATAAAAAATAATACATATCTTCTGGTGAGGATTAAAAAAAGAAAAATATCATATACATTATATGTTACTAGAAGCCCGATGCACGAAGATTCCTGCTAGGATAGGCTTTCCTTTCCCTGAGAGATCAGGGGTGGGGCAGAACACCTGCATTGCCACCATGGTGACTACGCAAGCTTCCTACCCCTATCACTGGGAGCCTGTGTATGCAAATTAACTGCCACCTTTATTGGGTTAATTTGTATACCGCTCCTGATTGGCTGGTGGTGTAACAGATTTACGATCAATTTACATGTTTGTCTCTTATTAAGATAATATAGTCTACTATTAGTATAGTATAAATAATGTAAAATATTATATATCACATATATTAATTATGCTATTTTACTATACACTCCGTGTTCCCTCTAATATATATATATATATTAGAGGCCTGGTGCATGAATTTGTGCATGGGTGGGGTCCAGCCAGCCTGGCCAGAGGGGGAGGACATGGGCGGTTGACTGGCCTGCCTGCTGGTTAAACTCCTGGTTGAGGGGACAATTTGCATATTAGCCTTTTATTATATAGGATATACACTGAGTGGCCAGATTATTATGCATTCAGAGATCATCATAATCTGGCCACTCAGTATATATCACAGTCTACATATTCTATAAAATATATATTACACACATTATTATCTAGTATACATTATCTCCAAAAATGTAGTATGTAGTATATATAAGATTACAAATACTATACTATAAGAGAAGGGTGGGACAGGAGGTGGGGGAGGTGTCCCATGCCAGCCATGTGGCAGCCCCCCTCATGAAGGGGGGTGAATGCAGATGGGCCAGCTCCTGCTTTCCAGGCCTCCTGTCCCCCTTCTCGGCCCTGATGGCCCCACCTGGTCCCAGGCCTGGAGCTCATCAGCCTGTGCTCTCTGCAGCTCCAGAGGGCACTTGGGAGCATTCCTGGTACAACGTGACCGTCCTGGTGAAAATGGACTTCAGGGAACTCCAGCAGGTGGACGCCAGGCTCCTGGATCACATGCGGCTGCTGCACTCCATGGTGGGTGAGGGGCGGGAGCCTGCAGGCCGCCTGCTGGCACCAGGGCAAACCAGGGGGGTGGGGAGGGGTTCCACTAGGGAACTTAGAATGCCCGACTCCGAAGCAGATGTCAACTCCTAATTTAAAAACAAAGCTTCAAAGAGGTGTGATTTATGTGCAACAAAGTGCACACACGATAGCGTGCGGTTTGAAGTCTGACACACACGGCGTTTGAGCGGTACACCATAATGGGGTAGAACACAGAACCCCTAATCCTCTAACGACTGTTGCTTAAACCAAAGGGTGCCCAGTGTAGTTGGTCTGGGCCCCAGAGCTGGGCCCTCCCAGGCCTCCCCCTCGGTCCTCAGCGTGCTGGGAAGCGCTGGGTGGGGACCTTTTCCCTGCACTATCGCTGTCCGGAGCTGGGTGGCTCTGTGGCTGGGGCTGCCTTTCATCATGGGATTGCACAGCATGCCTGGCCTCTTTGCACACGCACTCAGACGCATGCCTAGCTGGGACAGACCCACACGTCTCTGAACTGTGGCAGCCACACATGCCTCTGAACAAGGCCACAGGTCCCCTGAGGGGCAGTTCTGTTCCTGCTGCAGACACAGCTCACACTTGCTGGCACTGCAGAGCCTTCCAGCCAGGATGACGTTACTGGCAGTGGCCGGGACATTGCCCATCCTCACGGATGAAGGTCCTTGCAGGACCTGATCTGCCTTCAGGACCACATGGGCCCGTGTTCCCGCAGTGAGCCCAGGCTCAGAAGGTCCCACACTTTGTTTAATGCTCTGGCGTTGTCTCTTGAAATGCTTCATGCTTTAAAAAAATAAATAAATTATATATATATATATATATATATATATATATATATATATATATAGATATATAGATTGATTTTTTACAGAGTGGAAGAGAGGGATAGAGAGTTAGAAACATTGATGAGAGAGAATCATTGATTAGCTGCCTCTTGCACACTCCCTACTGGGAATGTGCCTGCAACCAAGGTACATGCCCTAGACTAGAATCGAACCTGAGACCTTTCAGTCAGCAGGAGGACGCTCTATCCACTGAGCCAAACCGGTTCAGGCTGCTTCATACTTTTTGAGTAAGGCCCCCAGTTTTGCTAATGCACTGGGCCCCACACACTCTGTGGTTGGGTTTGCTTGACTTTCAGACCTTACCGACGTGTCCTATGGGTAATGGGGAGGGGGTAGACCCGGACTTGGGTCCCTTCCCCGCAGAACAGATGGCACACACATTCACCTCGCTCTGGGCTGTCCAGTAAAGCGACTTGAGGGGCATTTCGAGAGGGCACGGTCCCCTGGATGCTTCTCACCTGCCCCAGCTGGAGGACAAGACGGCCCAGCTAAATAGCCAGTGAGAGCATGGCTCAGGAGCCAGACTGCCTGGGTTCTAACCCTAGTGCTGCCACTCATCAGCTGGGTGGCCTTGGGCAAGTTACTTAACCTCTCTGTGCCTTAGATACCACTTCCTTTAAGTAGAAATAGTCATAGTCCTGTCGGAGACAGTGACTGTGCGGTTTAAACAGTGCATGAAAGGAGCTTAAAGAGATATCTAGCCGGAGCAGAAAGGATTCCAATGAAATGAGAAAAGGGGCCACGAAAGCTACAGAAGTCAGATGTGCCACTTAAAGCTTGATGTCCAGTCCTCTGATCCCCGATGTGACCCTCTGTCATGAGCCGTGAGGATGGGGATCGCGGGGCCCAGGGGGCTGACCGGTGTTTTTTCGGGGGATGGCCATGACAGAGCCCCACAGATGGAGGGTTTACATAACAGAAACTTAGGGTTCCCCGGTCTGGAGGCTGGAGGCCTGAGATCGAGGTGCGGGCAGGGCTGCTCCTTCTGAGGTGGTGAGGGAAGGCTCCCTCCCAGGCCCCACCCCTTGGCTGTAGGTGGCTGTCTCCTCCCCGTGTCCCCATAGCAGCTCCTTCTATCAATGTCCGTCTCTGTGTCCAAACCTCTTCTCTGTGTGAGGACACCAGTCACATGGGCAAAGGCGCACCCGAACCACCTCATCTAATCTGACTGCATCCACTGAGACCCTCTGTCCAAATAAGGGCCCATTCTGAAGGCCTGCTGGTAGGACTTTGACATAAGGATTCGGGATGGGGAGAGTGGGGGGCACTGTTCAGCCCATGACAGCAAGCGTTGCAGAAGTATTTATAGTCTGGCTTGCAGGGCTGTCACCGGGGTGATGACGGAAATAAACTATCGTAGGGGTTCTCTCCTGCAAACCAGAATGGCGAATGTGCCATTCACGTAGAGTCTCCGGGCCTCGGTCTCCCTGGCTGTCTGATGGGGACACTTTTCCCGGGTGATGCTCTAACTCTGGCTTCACAGGTGACCAGTGCCCTGCGGCCAGTGGATGCTGCCGTGTACCACCTGCACTCGGCCTGCGGGGACACCTCGACCACGGTGTCCCGGCTGCTGCTGGGCCTGCCGCGGCCGGTGCCCGTGGCCAACGTGTCCGCGGTGTTGGACGGCATCGTGAAGCGTGTCTACGAGGTGATCAACATCCAGGTGCAAGGTGTGCTTTCCCTGGTCCTCGCCTGGGAGCAGGGGGAGGAGTGGAAAAATACTCTGGCGGCGAGGGGGCACTGACCCCTTTAGTCCATTCCGGTCCAAACCAAGTTAAACTGTGTCTCCACCACACGCTCCCATCCCCAGTTCCCACTTCCATCCAGGTGGGCGCTGGTGAACAGACCCCAGAACATACAGGGTTTCTTCCGTCAGCTCTCAGGTTCCTCCAGTTCCCCTTCTTGCCTCTGTCCCATCCTCGCCAAGGACATTCTTGTACCCAGAGGGCTTTGTCAGCAGAACTTGTACCAAGTTGGATTTGGTGAAGCACACAGATGCGGACTTGTTTCTGGAAGAAATTATCTGCTTTTTCTTCTCCTCCTTCTCCTCCTCCTCCTCCTCTTTCTCCTCCTCCTCCTCCTCTTCTTCCTTCTCCTCCTCCTCCTCCTACTCCTTCTACTCCTCCTTTTCCTCCTCCTACTCCTCCTCTTTCTTTTCCTTCTTTTCCTTTTTCTTTTCACATTTGGTCTATATCAGGGGTTAGCAAGCACTTGCAAAGTGCCAGGCAGTAAATACTTGGGGACCACATGGCCCTGGCTCCACGCTCAGCTGCTGTGTGACATGGTAGGGTGTGAGCGAGCCCACGGCACCAGCAGCGAGTCCTGTCCCAGGACGGGAGGACCTGAGTCCCCTGCTCCCTGAGGGTGGCTGCTCCTGTGGGGAAGCTCCTCCCAGGACAGTGAAGGTCACACATGAAGAGGCAGGTTCTGGGTCTTTAATGTCCTGAAAATCCTCACGTGTGCTTGAGGGCCACACCCACTCGTGCCAATAAGAGAAGTGCCTGTCGGCCTGTGAAGGCCCCCAGCGGGACACCAGGACCATGCCTGTAGGGGAACAGATGGGGGTTAGCACTGGCGGGGGGAGCGAAGGCATGCCCCGGCCTTGGGGCAGGAGGGGTCAGATGGGAGAATCTGTTATGGGATGTGGGCTTCGACTGGGTGGTGTTTTGTTTGGGGGGAGGGGGAGGGGCTTTGATCCAGGGCTTTGTTCTAGATTGGATGTTGTCAGAAAGTGGGGTTCTATGATTGGGTATCTCAACAAGAGGAGCAAATTTGCCTAAAGATAAGCTATAATTAGTATAAAACGAAGAGCCACTCCTTTTGCCCAAGGTGACATTCTGTGGGTAGCACAGTGGCCCTTTTTGCCTGGCTTTGGTAAAATCGTGCAGTGGCGTGGTCCTGTCTCACTTTATCCTGGTCGGGGAGTAGCCGTGTGCGTTCTGAGACAGTTTCTGTCGGTGGGAGAGGGAAGGGCCCAGCTTGAGTGACAGGCCGCCTCTGAATGCCAGCGCCCGCTCTGCTCCCTTTCTCAGTCTACAAAGGAGCCATCCACCAGTCCAGTTCTCGGGTAGAATGCTTGGACCCATCATTTCATGACCCTTAGATTCAACGCAGCTCCAAAGCGATCGGCTCAGGCATCCGTAGTCTCCCAAGCGCGTGTCACGGCTGCAGGTGAGCACGGCAGTGTCCTGAGCCGTGGCCAGCTGCTCTGCGGGCTTTCTGAGTCAGCGCTTCAAGAAGCACCCGGGCCCGCTGCCCTGTCCACTTCCTCGGCTCAGAGGACACCAGTGGAGGCCAGTGAGGACGGCCAGGTGGCTGCCACTCACCTGCTTTTCTTTCCCATAGATGTGGATGAGTGTTTGCATGAGGAACTCAACGCCTGCTCTGGAAGGGAACTGTGTTTAAACACCGAGGGCTCCTACCGGTGTGTCCGCCACCCAGAGGGGCTGGCCTCATCCCCCCAGAAGCTGGACGGCACGTGTGAAGGTAAGAGGCCACAGGACGTGGCTAAGGAACTCTTTCCGTTTGATGGACCGTGGGCCACAGAGATTCTCTCTTCTCACAAAGGTGACTGGATGGCTCGTGGGCAGAGAATAGTCACCTGGTTCTGTAGATTGTTCTGGCTCTCATACCCGGCTATTCTCACCTTCTTTCTCCAATTGAACCAATCTGTGTGCGATGCTGGTAATAGAAGCACGTATGAGTAGATCATCATTTCTGCTCCCAGGAAACTCAGCGGAGAGCATGCCAGATGCTTGGCGGGCATGGTGCATATGAGTAGGATGCCTGTGTAATTTGTTGTTTAAGTCGGGACACTGGGGGTGAAGGCGCCTGATGAATACGTACACTGGGCCCAGGAGTAACCTGGACCAGCTCTGGGCTTACTGATTAATTAGCTGTAGAAGAGCGAGAGAGACATGAGGCAGCAGGCAGAGGTGTTGGCCGGACAGTGTAACAGATGACGATTCCTGAATGAGTGGGGGGAAGACTAGGGCTATAATGCTTATTTTTAACAATAACTGTTTACATTGAGAAGGGGCTGAAATGGAGTGGAGCGGCCAGGATGCTGGCTGAGCTGCATGTTGGGTGCTGGAGCTCAGAGGGGCTGAGCTGCGTACGGGAATCCGGGGTCATCAGCATCCAGGTAGCGTTTCACTCTGGGCATGGTTGGGGGTCTGCAGGGGTGGCCTGAGGAACCCAGCTATTTAGAAGTCAGCACAGGAGGAGGGGCTTGCAAAGGGAGGGAGTGAGACGGGAAGAACAGTAAAAAAGACAGCCTCAGGAGTGTTGACAAGGAGGAGGTGCAGAGACCCAGAGAGCCCGGATGGAAGTATAGACCCCAGGAGGGCCTTTCTGGAAGGTGGGTGATGCAGAGCAGGCTCGTGTGCTGATGGGAGAGACCCTGGTCGGTTCTTGCAGCTCCGGCGTTCAGTCAAGCTTTCTCTGTTCTGGGAAGCTGCTCTTGGAGGTCTCTCCTCCCTCCGTCCCCTGGGCTTCCTCAGCTGGGATGACTGTCGCCTGTAGCCGCTCTGGTGGCCAGCGTGTGGTCAGGAGAAGCTTAGTGGCCACAGCCTGCAGGGCTGCCTGCAGGTGAGTGAGGCTGCAGGCGCAGCCTGACGGTGAGCCAGAGAAGCTCAGCTTGCATGGCGGGACAGGAAGGGGCCAGTAAGTGAGCATTCATTCACCCACAGGACACATTTTAATGAGTTCCTACAATGCACAAGGTACTGTGCCTGCTTTGTTGGTGAAGAACAGACTAGAGGAGTCATGGCTGACCACAAATCCACCCCTTCCTCCCTTAGTGACAGAGTTAGATTGAGTTTGGTGTGGAAATGTTAGCTGAAGAGACTAGGCTTCCTTACCTCTCTTGCAGGTAGGATGGCCATGTGACTTGTCTTAGCCAGTGAGACATGGCAGAAGTTTCCATGGGAACGAGGAAGACATGGTTACAGGCCCTGCTAAGACCAAGCTGAGCACAGGAGTATGACGGCCGAGGCCCCCTTGGCCATCTGAGCCACAGGGTGACCTTGGGGATAAGGCTCAGACACTGGTGATGGGGAAGCAAAGACAATGAAGAGATCCGGGCCTGAGGTGCCGCAGATGTTTCCTACATAAAGGGCACACATGACGGGGGTCAAGCCCTGTTATGTGGGGTTATATGGAGCAACTTAGCCCAATGCGAGTGGCTTGGGCAAGGCAGAAAGCAGAGAGCTAAAGTACAGAGAGGGTCCCGGAAGCAGGTGGCTGGTGGTAGGGTAATGGGTGTGGTGGGGAGGTGTATCTGCTAGACAAACTGGGTGCAAACCATAGACTGGGCACAAACCACAGGCCTCCCAGCACAACTGGGCGCAAACCACAGACTGAGCATTAGTGGGAGAGGAGATTTTTTTACAGAGAGGAAGGGAGAGGGATAGAGAGTTAGAAACATCGATTAGCTGCCTCCTGCACACCCCCTACTGGGAATATGCCCACAACCAAGGTACATGCCCTTGACTGGAATCGAACCTAGGATGCTCTATCCACTGAGCCAAACAGGCTAGGGCGGGAGAGGAGATTTCAAGATGGACTCGGTACCACCCTCAGAGTTCAGCCTAGAGCTAAAACTTTCTCTTGTTATTGCAGAGTCTGATTTATTACTTTAGCAACATTCTAACAACAGCGGAAAGATAACTCATCCCCAGTCTCAGCGCACCAGCCAACAGTTTTCTTTTTCCCTGCTCCCTTCCAGGTTTTCTACCCTATTTAAATCCTGCTATGCGTGCAGTTTTGTACTCTGCTTTCTCCACTCACCAGCATGTCTTGTGAAGGCTTCCAAGACGCAACCTGGTCCTCATCATCCTAATTTCGATGGTTGGGTAATAGTGATGGCGTATGGCAGTGATATCATGTCTCAGCTATCTGCCCCTTGGGGGGCATTAAGGTGGCTTCCAACATTCTGCCATAGAAACGAGAGCTTTCACTAGCAGGGTGAGGTGGTTATGGAGAAAACTGTTACTCACGTTTGGATCGCTTAATGTAATTCGCATGTCCCGTCCCCTTTAAAGGAATGCAACAGTGAGGACCCTCCCTTTGTTCATAGTAACAGTCAGGAGCTGCTTAGCACGCAAGTCACCCGGGCTCTGTAATAAGCACCTTTGCAGCATCACTTTATTTAACCCTTAGACCACCCCCTCCAGGCAACTGCCCCACAGTGCCTCCCCCAGAGGCTGCCCTCATCACAGCGTTGGTGCCCCCTGGTGGCCGTGCCCTGATCAGGAGCTGACCAGGGTTCTAGGGCTGTGGACTATTTCCTTAGGTGACCCAGAACTCAACGGGATAGTGGATGCAGGGTCCTTGCTGACTCTTCCAGCTTTGCCATGGAGGGGTGAGGGTAGAGGCTGTGGGATGATGCTGGGAAGACCTGGAGGGTCCGTCTTCATCACTGGAATGTTCTATCTACTTCTTCCAATGAAGCTCCATGGGGCAGGTCTCCTGTCACTGCCAGTGAGTCCTGTACTTGGCAAATAGTAGACACTTAACACATCTATATATATAAAAGCCTAATTGACCATTATGACTGGACAACCAGATGACCAGCCAATAGCTATGACGTGTACTGACCACAAGGGGGCAGATGCTCCATGCAGGAGTTATCCCCTGAATGTCAGTGCACTCCCACAGTCAATCTCCCAGAGCCAACCGACCTCCTATGGTCCCTTCCCTTGGCTGGCCAGCCCTGATTGGCCCCCATCAGGACTGGGTGAGACAGCCCTAATTGGTCGGGAAAGACCCCCATCTGTGCACAAATTCATGCACCGGGCCTCTAGTATTTAATATCAATGAAGGAAGAGGGAGGTTTGAATGGTGGCTGTTCCTAGGAGCTTTGAGTGTGGAGTGGTGAACATACCAGCCCACCTGTAGCCACAGGGCACTTCTCCACTCTGCGGGTCTAATTAGAACTGTGTGAGCCCTCCACACACACCTGGGCCCACAAAGCTTTGCACTGACTCCCCTGCAGACCATCCTTGGATCTACTCTGTGGCCTCTGAGGGGAGAATCCCGTCCATCACTGAGAATAGAAGCCTTGAATCAGTTACTGAAAATCCTGTGGTCAGTAATCTGAAAAAGACATTAGACTCTATTTATAGTGAGGGATGTTGCCAGCCAGACTCTGCCATGCTGCCCGGATACTGTGTTACAAGGTCCCGTCCAGACAAAGGTCTGTCCCACAGGTAAAGGGAAAGCTGCCCTGCCCGGGTCCACTCCCTACCACCACCCCCCTGCCCCCCCGACGGGGAAGAAAAGGTGAACCCAGCGTTGCCAGCTCCGAAACAGAGTGAATTCCAATAGCATATTGCTAAGGGAAAGCAGCACATGGTTTGAATTTAGACGCTAATACAAATGAGCAATCTGCTGGAACGGTTTAGAGGCACAAACCCGTGGAAAATACAGCACCAATTTCACATGCTTTTCTTGTGAAATTAGTCACTCGATTAACGGCGCCCGGGGCGGCTGGGTTCTTGCACAGAACAGAGAGCGTAGGCAATGCTGCCTGGTTGGCATGCGACGTTCCAGGAACGCGCTCTGCTTTTCTGACGGACAGGGAGGAACTGTTCTAGGACCCTCCTAGCTCCGTCCGCCACCGGCCCCTTCTCAGCTGGAGCCCACTAGCTGGTCAGCACCATAGAAAAACCCGTGTTTGGCCAAGGCAGGCCTGCCTGCTCCAGGGGCAGCCAGGCTGACAGGCCATTCCCCAAGCCAAGATCCCCTGGTCCCTAACTGAATGCTCAGGCTCTTGGCTCGCATTCTTAGCATTTCTACCTTTATGGGGTCAGGTCTCAGGGTGACCCAGGGACAAGGGGTGCAGTCTGACCCGGGATACCCTGGGAAAGGCAGCAGTCCTGCTTCCCCAGAGGCGGGTCAGGGCTGCCCCAAAGCAGCAAGGCCCAGACCCAGGGACCAGAATCCAGTGTGCTCACCGCGATGAAGGTCACGTTCCCGAATGAAGGTCGGGAGGCACATGGCAGCAGCATCCTCCGGCCGCACAGACTCAGGGCTTGGGTGTTATGTTCAAGGGCCTCCTTACACGAGGGTCGTCAAAAAGCCGAAGGGCTGCAAGAGCAGATGTCCTGGCTAATGAAGGGCGAACACCCGGGTTTGAGCACAAGGAGCAGAGGCATGGAGCTTTGACATAGCAGAGGGCTTTGGCCGAGGGCGTCAGAAGCTGGCTGATTCCGCAGCAACACGACTGATTTTCCAAGCGGCTGTCCTGCCAACAGCTGCCTTGAAAAGCAGTTAAAGAGGCTGGGAGGTGGGCTTGTGTCCTGCAGCTGTTGTAACCAAGGGCCACACACCTGGTGGTGTCGAACAGCAGAGGAAAAGTAAAGAGAAAAGCAAAAGGAGGCAATCCAATATTTTAAAAAAAATATATTTTATTGATTTTTTACAGAGAGGAAGAGAGAGGGATAGAGAGTTACAAACATCGATGAGAGAGAATCATTGATCAGCTGCCTCCTGCACAACCCCTACTGGGGATGTGCCTGCAACCAAGGTACATGCCCTTGACGGGAATTGAACCCGGGACCTTTCAGTCTGCAGGCCGACGCTCTATCCACTGAGCCAAACCGGTCTCGGCGGTGATCAAGTATTTTTTTAAAAAAAAGTCTAAAAGAGCAGTCATGTATTGTCTCACAGTTCTGGAGGGCGGAAGTCTGAAAAAGACAGATGTGTCTTCCTGGACCTCCCTCTACCCCTCATCCTGGGAGAGTGGTCAGGGCACAGTGAAAATTGAGGTGGAGGTCCCCAGTCCCATCCAGGAAAGGCGGTGGGGGGAGGGGGGGGAGGCTCACTGTCATTTATCTCCACCCGCTTTGAGGGGGACCCACGGGGGTTCACAGGAGGGAAGCACGCACCCACGGGCGGGCACCCCCTTTTATAAGAGGCAGCTCGGTGCTCAGTCGGAGGGAGACACCGCAGGGCTGAGTCAGAGGACGAGGGTGAGGCACCGACCTTGATGCTGAGCCTCTTGGCAGTCCAGGCAGAAAGGAAAATGGGTTGAATGACTAGTTTTTATTTTTATTTTTACGGAAAGGAAACATGCACATTTGTCTGGAAAGGTGGTTTTTTTTTTTTTTTTTTCCTCATGATCCTAGAAAACGGGGAACTTTATAGACACGTCTTAGCTGTGTCTTTTTACTGTGGTTTCGCAAAAGGTTTTTTTAAAAGTCCTCATGACTTGCTTTTTTTATAGAACTCAGATTTTGATGGAAGAATTGTGCCTAGACTGAGGGCTAAACTACTTTTTACATAACTCATATTTCTTAGGTGACTATTGTATGCCAGAATTTCTCTTCAAAAACAGAGATGAATTGTGTTTGAATATTAAAATATATATTAATTTAAAAAAATTTTTTTTAGAATATTACATGCTAGAGTGTTATATTAGAGTATTGCTCCCCAACACGTGGATTTTCATATGAAAATGTAAGAAGCCTGGTTCCTGAATCTGGCTCTCTTTCTTAAAAGGACACAGTGAGCCTGGCTGGTGTGGCTCAGTGGTTGAGGGATCTTTGAACCAGGAGGTCACAGTTTGATTCCTGGTCAGGGCACATACCCAGGTTGTGGGCTCGATCCCCAATAGCCCGTCAATGATTCTCTCTTATCATTGATGTTTATAACTCTCTTTCCCTCTCCCTTCCTCTCTCTGAAATCAATCAAAACATATATATGTATTTTTAAAGGGACAGTCAGATTGGAGAAGGGCCCACCCTAGTTAACTAACTTAAACTTAGTTACCTCTTTAAAGACCTGTCTCCAAATTCTGTCCCTTCCTGATGGACTGGGAGTGAAGGCTTCACCCTGTGGGTATTGGGGGATGCAGTTCAGCCCATAACACACCACAATGGCCCAGCTGCAGCGACAGCTGTGTCCTGGCCATTGGGAGTGAGGCTGCGGTGAACACTGAGGCGCACGCATTGCTTTCATTTCCTTCGGGTGAGTGCCCGGCAGTGGGCCTGCTGGGTCCCGCGGCAGCTCTATAGCCTTCATTCTTTGGGGAGCTTCTGTACTGCTTCCCACAAGGGCTGTACCAACAGGGCACGGGGTTCCCTCCCCTGCCCACCCCGCCCTCTCCAGCACTTCCCTCTGGCCTTTCTGAGGATAGAGTTCTGACAGGTGTACCTCCTTGCGGTCCTGATTGCGTTTCCCTGGCGATGAGTGAGGTTGAGTGTCTTTTCATGCGCTTGTTGGCCATCTGTGTGTCTTCTTTGGGGAAATGTGAACTCAGATGTTTTGCCCATTTTGTAATTTGATTATTTGGTGTTTCCTTTTGCCGTTGAGTTGTGTGAGTTTCGTACATATTTTGGATGCTGACCCCCTTACCAGATGTGTGATGTGCAAACAGCGTCTCTCATTCCATAGGCTGCCTCTGCTGTGCAGAAGCGTTTGTGTATGAGGGGTTCCGCTTGCTGATGCTGCTTCTGCTGCCTCTCTCTAACACCCTCCGACGCTCCTCTTCCTGTGTGTTCACAGACGGCCCTCCCATCACAGACTACAGGGTCCTCAGTGTCACCAGCAGCAGCTTTCAGGTGTCCTGGGACTTCCATTCCACCCGGAGCCGCACCTTCCACGTGCAGGTTTCCCGGGGCGAGGAGCCGCTCAGGAGCGCCAGGACCCAGGCAACGGCCCTGGAGGTGACCGGGCTGGAGGCCGGGGTGCTGTATGGGGTGAAGACCAGCTACCAGGCGTGCGGGACCAACGTCACCGCCACGCTGACTGTCAGAACCGGTGAGGCGCTTGTCCGAACACGTGTGTTTCCTGTGAGCTGAGCTGGTCTTTCTATCCCGATTCTGTTGGCTCCAGAAGTTCAAACTTCTTACGACCAGGCAGGGGCGGGCATGGGCTTGGCCCCATCGTCCTAGGGTCCTCTGAGCAATGTCTGGGGTCCTGGCCATCACGGGCTCCCTCGCTCCCCTCAATGCGTCCCGCAGGCATTGGAAGACCTTCGGTGACGAACCTCTCAGGCTGCGTGTGTATAACTTCCCCAAACCAGGGCCTGAGTGCTACCCAAAACCTGCAGGAAGGGCACCTTGTTTCCCACACCGGGCACCTGATCAGGGCATACCCGCCTGCAGTGTCAGCGCCAGGGGAGAACTTTCCCCCAGACAAACACGGGTAGGAACGAACCGGGGATTCTGGCGTCCAGAAGGCAGCTGGCGTGGCCACACAACTCCGCCAGGTGGCTGACTTTTGCCCTGCCCCGTGGTCCGAGCCCCCATTTGCCTGGTCATGGTGGTACTTGCGTGGTAAAAATATATTTAAAAAAATTATACAGCTGCCTCCTGCACACTTCCTACTGGGGCTGTATCCACAACCAAGGTACATGCCCTTGACAGGGATCGAACCTGGGACCCTTCACTCCACAGGCCTACGCTCTATCCACTGAGCCATACCAGTTAGAGCGATCTTTTTTTTTTTTTTTTAATTTCTCTCAAAGCGTAGGCTTTATGAAAAGCATTGGCAGAAACCTGTGTGATGCTGGCTCCCTGGGCTTCAGCTAACGTGCACGATTGTCTGTCGCAGAGGCCCGTGTGTTCGGCATCACAGTGAGGATCCTGGACCGCAACATGACGGAGCCGCTGCTGGACCGAGGCAGCCCAGAGCACCGGGACTTCTCCCGGCAGCTGCTCCAGGAGGTAAAGACGAGGAGGGCTGCAGCGAGCTATCCCTGCTGCTCCGAGCGAGGGGCCCACCTAAGCCATTACTCAAATACTCCCCCTCCTCGTTTATGGGGGCGCTTAACCTAGATGTGGGGCCACACTGTCTTGGAAATACGTGTTTTGGATTCAAATGGTCTACCCCAGTTGTCGGCAAAGTCATTGGTCAACAGAGCCAAATACCAACAGTACAATGATTGAAATTTCTTTGGAGAGCCACATTTTTAAAACTTAAACTTCTTCTAACGCCACTTCTTCAAAATAGACTCGCCCAGGCCGTGGTATTTTGTGGAAGAGCCACACTCAAGGGGCCAAAGAGCCACATGTGGCTCTGGAGCCGCAGTTTGCCGACCACGGATCTACCCCAGTGGATCCTTCAGCTGGGTTTTCTGTCGAGCTTCCTCCCTGGGACCTGAGGGCTCTGGATTCCCACTTCGGGGCGGCTTCATGAGGAAGGCTAAGCAGGACCAGGCATCCACCCCCTGTGGCTGAGGGGGACATTGGCACAGGCCTGGGAGGACCAAGGAAAAAGTGACTCAGAAACAGTCAGGAACCACGAAAGGTCTAAGACGTTACCCTTCCTGCAAACTAATACGCCAGCCTCTTCCTTTGCTGGGCGCTGGCCGAAGACACGAGGGGCCTGGGTTAGAGACACAGGGCTTTGTCGAGCACAGCAGGCGGCATGAGCGTCCAGCTAGGCCAGTTCCCTCTCTGCCCTCGCGTCCCACAGAGATGACTCAGAGGGGTCCAGGTGGGTGATGCACGCAGTAGGTCTGCATCCCAGCAGGGACCCCCAAGCTTGGGGAGCCCGGACCTCTGTACTGGGCTGTGAGCAAACCCGACTAAACCTTCCTCCGCTAGGAGACATTGCCTGGATTCTCAGACAGGGAGCACAACTGCCCTTGGCGCCATGATCTCTCCCCTCGGGCTGCTCATCATACAAACGTCTCGGAATGATATTCGGGAACAAAAGGGCAGTTCTGGCTTCTGCTTGCAAACTGTGTTGAAGTTCGAGAGACCGGAGGAGGGTGTTTCTCCACAGCCACCTACAGGGAAAACGTTTTTAAGCCAATGGGATTCACGTGTGTGCAAGAATGGTGTGGCAGGAACACGGGAAGGGGGCAGGGGGTGGACAAGGCTGCTGCTCCCTGGCTCGGGCAGGGTGGACTCTGAGCCCCTGGCTCTGCCCGGGTGTGTCCTGGGGGAGACAGCTCTGTAAGAGGGGACAGTGCCAAACAGCCATGAGATTATTCCGTGGCAGCCCCCTTGGCCAGTCAGCCCATCCATCAGTCAGTCCATCATCAGTCAGTCCACCCATCAGTCAGTCCATCATCAGTCAGTCCACCCATCAGTCAGTCCATCATCAGGCAGTCCATCATCAGTCAGTCCATCATCAGTCAGTCCACCCATCAGTCAGTCAATCATCAGGCAGTCCATCATCAGTCAGTCCATCATCAGTCAGTCCACCCATCAGTCAGTCCATCATCAGTCAGCCCATCCATCAGTCAGCCCATCCATCAGTCAGTCCATCCATCAGGCAGTCCATCATCAGTCAGCCCATCCATCAGTCAGTCCATCCATCAGTCAGTTCATCCATCAGTCAGTCCATCATCAGTCAGTCCATCATCAGTCAGTCCATCCATCAGTCAGTCCATTATCAGGCAGTCCATCATCAGTCAGTCCATCCATCAGGCAGTCCATCATCAGTCAGTCCATCATCAGTCAGTCCATCATCAGTCAGTCCACCCATCAGTCAGTCCATTATCAGGCAGTCCATCATCAGTCAGTCCATCCATCAGGCAGTCCATCATCAGTCAGTCCATCATCAGTCAGTCCACCCATCAGTCAGTCCATCATCAGTCAGCCCATCCATCAGTCAGCCCATCCATCAGTCAGTTCATCCATCAGTCAGTCCATCATCAGTCAGCCCATCCATCAGTCAGTTCATCCATCAGGCAGTCCATCCATCAGGCAGTCCATCATCAGTCAGTCCATCCATCAGTCAGTCCATCATCAGGCAGTCCATTATCAGGCAGTCCATCATCAGTCAGTCCACCCATCAGTCAGTCCATCATCAGGCAGTCCATTATCAGGCAGTCCATCATCAGTCAGCCCATCCATCAGTCAGTTCATCCATCAGTCAGTCCATCATCAGTCAGTCCATCATCAGTCAGTCCATCCATCAGGCAGTCCATCATCAGGCAGTCCACCCATCAGTCAGTCCATCATCAGTCAGCCCATCCATCAGTCAGCCCATCCATCAGTCAGCCCATCCATCAGTCAGTCCACCCATCAGTCAGTCCATCATCAGTCAGCCCATCCATCAGTCAGTCGGCAGTCCCTTGTCTCTCTCACACAATCTGCCTTCACAGCGATGTTCTGGGCACCCAGAGGGCACCGCATCTCTCCTGCTCCGTTACAGAGAGCCCAACTCTGTCACTGCCCGTGCTCACCAACGCCTGGCCGCTGTCCCAGGGCAGGCCCGGGTGGGGTGCAGCAAGCTGGGGCACATTTGCTTGCCCCAAGAGGTTGGCTCTGGGTGCCTTTTCAGGGGACACCTGGTCCTGGGCCCCATCTGCAGCCACACAGGGGCCCTGAGTGGCGCCTTAGAGGTGCGGATGGAAAGCTGGCTCTCACAGGCACTACCTCTCCCCGCCAGGTGGAGAGCGCCTTCCCGCCGGCGGTGTTGGACCTGTGCAGGCGGGGGAAGCTGCGGCTGAAGATTGAGTCCCTCCAGGCCGGCAGCCTGGTGGTGAAGCTCAGAGTGACGGTGCAGGACCCCGAGTTCCCAGTGGGGGTCTCCACGCTGGCCCCCATGCTCCCGCGGCTGTGGGCCAGCAGAGTGTTCCAGATCGACCCGAGGGGGACGCTGGTGCAAGGTAGGCGGGAGACCCAGAGGCCACGGGCTGCTCTGCCGGCTGCAGGCCTGCCTTCTGCCTCTGGCCCGAGAGCGCCAGGCCTTGGGTGTAACACAGGCCGACGGAGCCGTGCCGCCTCCCGGGGGGGCCTGCTGCTGAGCCGGGGGAGCGAGGGGGAGGGGAGGCACTAAAAATAGCCGCCAGGTGCCCTGCAGTTGGAGCCAGATCTCCACTGGGACCTTGAGCAGCTGGGCCCTGCTGCTGGGCCAGCCTGGGCTCCTCCGGTCTGGCCTCCGCCCCCAGCACCCCAGCGCTGCCTGCTGGCTGGTCACCAGGCAGGGTTCCAGAACATCTGGGGGCCGGGCCAGCAGCGCCCTGTCTGCAAAAGAGCCCAGGCAAGGTGTGTGTGATTGGTGGTGTGGTATGTGTGTGTGGTGTGTGGGATGTGTGTATGGTGTGTGTAGTGTGTGTGGTGTGTGTATGTGTGTGAGGTGTGGGGTGTGTGGTGTGTGTGGTATGTGTGTGTGTGTGTGTGAATGGTGGTGGTGGTGGTGGTGGTGGTGTGTGTGTGTATGTGTGAGTAGTGAGTGATGTGTGTGTGTGTGTGTGGGGTGTGGGATGTGTGTGTGGTGTGTGTGTGTAAGTGTTGCATCAGCTGGCAAGTGAGCTGCTGGTCTGCAGGGAGCTACTTCCGTGAAGATCACATGAAAAAAAAATGAAAACCACAGCGTGGCCCCTGAGCATCAGCTGCAGTTTCTCTGCACAAAACTGACCTCGTCTTTTATCTTGTCCTGACCCCAGCCCCACCGGCTCCCCTGGGGCCCTGGGCACGATCGGGCGCTGCCCAGGCTCAGGGAGGCGTGTGCAGAGGCCTCGCAGCTCACCCTGCCCGGGATCCAGCCCCTCTCGGGGCCCTAGGGTGCCCTGCCAGGGAGGTGACTCCGCCTGGAGCCACTTGTCCCCTGAGGAGAGGGGGGCGGGCATGTAGTGGCCCAGAGAGCTGGGTGGGTGGAAGGATGGAGTTCTGGGGTGTGGAAACTACCCCCAGGCCCCCTTCCCCCGCCCCCAGATCCCCTTTCCCCGCCCCCAGCCTGGAAGCCAGTTGAGATATTCATTCCTTGAGGCTTATTGTGCTGACTGCATGTAGTCTCTACTGATGGGCCGTGTGTCCAAACGCAGGAGACCATCAGTTCTTTCCTAGGGCAGGTCCGGAAGTGCGGGCGGTGGGCCAGGGGGTCCGGGAGAGGGGCGTGGAGAGGGGGGAGAAAGAAGGGAATAGTGTTCCTGGTGAGTTTTGTTTCTCACTTCAGCTGATGCCAGTCCTGGCGGCGGCCGATTGGGAAAGGAATCGTGGGTGTGGTGGGTGAGCCCCGGCCGGGGCCACCGGGGTGTCCACAGAAACAGGCCTTACCTCACCTTTCCTTGCACAAACCAGAAGGCTCAGGGCTTCCCGGTGAGAGTCACTTCCCAGAGGGGGCTCTCCAGGCCATTCCTGACCATGTCAAAGGAAGCTCACATTCTGCTTAACTGGACATGGAGCTCAGCCGTTTCCCTATTTCCCTATTTCTCTCTTGAACATGAAGTATTAGGGCATGTTGGCATGTTAGTGAGGTTTAGGTGTGGAACAAAGAATAAACAAGGGAGAAACGTATCCCATCTGTGGGTGTTGATACCTTAAACTCGTGGCTCTCAACCTTTCTAATGCCATTACCCTTTAATACAGTTCCTCCTACTGTGGTGACTCCCAACCATAACATTATTTTCGTTAATTTACAGTTATGAAGTGGCAACGAAAATAATTTCATGGCTGGGGGTTACCACCACATGAAAAACTGTATTAAAGGGTTGAGGCATTAGAAAGGCTGAGAACCACAGCCTTACACAGTAACCACCATCCCCTAATCTTTGCCCCATTATCAGCCAGCCAACGGTGAGGGTCAGCGCATCAGACGCTTAGCCTGAGCCTCGGTTCAGGTGCAGCCTCTGGGGGAGGGTCTGTGCAGCACCTCCTCCCAAGGCTGCGGGACACCCGGGCCCTTCACTCACTCTGGCCTCGGCCTGCAGGCTATTCCCTGAAAGACAGTCAGGGAGGACCTGGCTCTGTTCCCATCCGCTTTCTGAGCAGCCTCTGGCCTTCCTCCCGGGCTCCGTCCCTCCCTCCCCCCGCAGACTGGGACGAGTGTGCGAACAGCCTGGAGCATGACTGCTCGCCAGCCGCCCAGTGCATCAACCTCGAGGGCTCCTACACCTGCCGCTGCCTCACGGCCAAGGACACCAACCCGGCCCGCGCTGGCCGGGCCTGCGTGGGTGAGTCCTCTACCCACCCCTTCCCCGGCGTTGGGCGGGCCCCACCCCCCACCCTGTGGACCTGGGTGTGGGGTAAGGCCCCCCTCCATCAGGCACAGGGTCGAGGGCTCCTCATACAGTTAGGAACCCGCAGGACTGTCTTCATTTGTTTAAATCAAAGGAAAGGAATGAATATAATAATAGTGAATATCAGTAGTGAATCCTATCTTTATTTTTTATTTTATTTTATATTTTTATTGATTTTTTTACAGAGAGAAAGGGAGAGGGATAGAGAGCTAGAAACATCGATGAGAAATAAACATTCATCAGCTGCCTCTTGCACACCCCCCAAACTGGGGATGTGCCCGCAATGAATGTACAATACATGCCCTTGACCACAATCAAACCTGGGACCTCTCAGTCCCCAGACTGATGCTCTATGCACCGAGCCAACCCTGTTTCGGCCCCTATCTTTATTTTTATAATATGATGTTTAACCTTTTTGTGGAAGATCGGGTTCACTCGGAGGGGGCCCACCCCGGGTGGCCTGGAGCTGGAGGCCGGAGAAGCCCAGGCAAGTGCGGAGAAGGCCCCGGTGTGGGCCCCACACATCTGCCCTGCGTTCTGGGGGGCCAGTTCTGATGGATTGACCGGGGCACCTGCAGGCTGAGGGAGAAGCAGGAGGAGGCCCGTATGTGTGCACGTGCTGTGATGGGCCGGCCGTGGGTGCCCTGGGCGCGGGTGGGCCGGGGAGGGCTCGGCCACCTTTGCCGTCCAGCTCAGGCCTCTGGCTGGGAGCACTGGCAGAGCTGTCCGCAGGAAGGAGCTCTGTTCCCTGCCCGCTGGACCCCCAGTCCCACCTCCCCACATGACAGAGCTTCCCTTCACCATCTTCTCAGCGGTGTGTCCAGGAGGCGGGCACCGGTGCCAGCGCCAAGCCCTGCCCAGAGCACACATCTGGGGAAATCACTCCGTTTCCCAAAGGCGGATGGATTCTTGGGAACTCACAGGAACCAAGCCCTGCATCTAGGTCTGTGGTTCTCAACCTTCCTAATGCCGCTACCCTTTAATACAGTTCCTCATGTGGTGGTGACCCCCCAACCATAAAACGATTTTCGTTGCTACTTCATCACTGTAATTTTGCTACTGTTATGAATCGTAACGTAAATATCTGTGTTCTCCAATGGTCTTAGGTGACCCTGCTAGCGGTTCTCAACCTGTGGGTCTCAACCGCTGCTATAGAGCCTAAGACCATCGGAAAACAGTGGCAAAATTACAGCGATGAAGCAGCAACGAAAATCATGTTATGGTTGGGGGTCACCACCACGTGAGGAGCTGTATTAAAGGGTCGCGGCATTAGGAAGGTTGAGAACCAAAGCTCCAGGTTCTGGCTCGACAGCCCCTCCCTTCTCCCTCCTCTCCCCACCCAGGGAATGTGACGGAGGGGCACACCCCCCCGCTGTGTTGGGGCCCCAACACCCTGCTCTCGGCGCCCCAGCACCCTCGTGTACGAAGTGGAAAGGCTCCTCCGGGCCCTCCATGGGAGTCACTGGGTGACGCCATCTTAAATAGTCCTGGTCACCCAGACAGCCCGTGGCCCCCCACTTGGGGTCCTCCTGGGGGTCTTCCACTCACCAGTGGCCTCTGGGGCTTTGCTGAGATGTGTGTGGGCCAGACACCCCTCTGAGCGTGGCTGTGTCCTGCAGGTGACGTGGTGAGCTCGGTGGAAGGTGCGCCATCCCTGGTGCCAAGGGTAACGGCCCCGGCTGTCAGCACGGAAACAACGGCCCCTGGCCTGGAGACCCCTGCCGTGTCACCCAGCCCCGGGCACGCGTGGGGCACCCCTGCCGCAGGCCAGGCCCAGACCCCAGGGCCCCCGCCCAGGAGAGGGGACGGTGGCGTGGTCGGGCAGGACAGGAACAACACAGGCCACGGCGTGGAGGAGGCGGCACCCAGCGAGGCCCCGGGTCCGGGGACGGCCAGCGGGGCTCCTGGGCCAACCCGCGGCTCCCTGGAGGCCTCCGGATGGCCGCTGAGAAACTCCACCGCAGAGCCGCACGCCCGGCCCAGCCCCGCCGAGGGCCCTGCTGGCCACGTGTGGCACACCAGCCTCCCCACGTCGGGCACCCTTCCTGTACCGCTGGGCCCTACGTGGCCGCAGAACACGGACCCTGGACACTCCGGCTCCCCGGACCTGCCCTTGGCCTCCACCCCCACGTCTCTGAAGACCCCGGCCTGCGGTGAGTGCCCGAATGGTGTGTCCCAGGGGCACCGGGGACCACATGGTCAGCGCGAGTTCTGGTGGCTCAGGCCAGACAGCGGCCAGCTCTGGGCCTCGTGAGGATGAGAACTCGGTCTCCGTGTCCTCTCCAGCCCCTCCTCCTCCTTCCGAAGCCTCCATGTGCCAACGTATAGGGCAGGGATTCCGGCATTAGGAGGAGACTGTGGGGCACATCCCCCAGCTGTGTGGGGCCCCCCACATGTCTGCACCTCCCCAGCCCCGCTGACCCCAGCAGCTCCACGTTATACATTCCTCGCAGAGGGCTGAGCCATCGCCGAGGCCCACGGGGGACGGCCCAGGAGCCAGGAGCCAGCCCTGGCAGGTGACGGCCTGGCCGTGCTGCCTCCCTCGGGGCAGCCGCGCTGGCACCACCGTGAACTCATGCGGCTGGCCCAGCTCTGGACGTTGTCCAAGGGGAAGTAGCCGTGCGCTGCAGTTCCTCTGCTGAGCGCGCAGCTTCCAAGACTAAGTTGTTAAGCCCGCGTAACCCAGTGCTGTCACGTCCCCCGGGCCCTGTAAAAAATTCTGCAATAAAAGTGTCATATGCTAATCGGGCCAGATGTCCTTCCAGACGACCTTCTGGGCAAAGCCAGGGCTGTGAGAGAAGCCCGGGTCCCCAGTGCCAGTGGCCACGATGCTGACTCCTCGGATTGTCAGCCCAGGGGGTGAGGGGGATGAATTTGACCATCACTCCGCTATACCCACCAGCCAATGAGGAGCCAGTATGCAAATTAACAGGAGCCACCCACAACCTGTTCAAGAAGCCTTTGTTTTGGGAAGTCCGGGGACCTCAGAGGCAGACACCAAATCAGAGGCAGAGGGGTGCCACCTTCCCCTGAGGGTGTCTTACATCCCGAGCGAGCGATGCATTTGATTTTAGCACTGGGGGCGAGGCTTCTCCTTTCTCCTTACTCCTCTCCCCGAAGCATTTGTTTTTAATCTCGGTGTTTCTATCCACCTCCCAGTTCCCGCCCCCATCGAGAGGGCCACAGTCTCCAATGTGACCGGCACCGGCTTCCACGTGGCGTGGGTGACAGACCTCACCCTGCGCCCCACGTTCCAGCTCACGCTGATGTCCCCGTGGAGCCCCGCCATGCACCTGGAGACCCGCAACACGAGTCTGCAGCTATGGGGCCTGGAGCCCGGCGTCTTGCACCTGGTGGAGATAGTGGCCAAGGCATGTGGGGAAGAAAGCGCCAGGGCACACCTGAGAGTGCGGACAGGTAACGGGCTTCCGGAATGCTGGTGGCCACATGGCTCCTTTAAAAAAAAAAAAAAAAAAAAAAAAAAAAATATATATATATATATATATATATATATATATATATATATATATAATTGATTTTTTACAGAGAGGAAGGGAGAGGGATAGAGAGTTAGAAGTATTGATCAGATGCCTCCTGCACACTCCCCACTGGGGATATGCCAGCAACCAAGGTAGGTGCCCTTGACTGGAATCGAACCTGGGACCCTTCAGTCTGCAGGCCGATGCTCTATCCACTGAGCAACACCGGTTTCTGTGCCACTTGCTCTTTAAGGGAGGGAAGGCATATGAAAAAGGGTTTCCATGGGTTCAGGGTTGAAAGAGCTGCGTTTACTTGCAGGCTGCTGGGTTTCCATTTGCTTCTCAGCGTAGAAACATCGGGTTCACTTCATGCTCGGGCATGGGACAGCCAGACAGAAGGTGGCTCATTTTGGGAAGAGGTGTTAGTGGTGGAGTTGCAAAGAGCTCCAGACTCTGCCACAAGGTGTGGACACTTGTCTACCTGTGCCCTCCATGTGGGCAGATGTGGGTGGTGCAGGTCTACTGAGCATCAGCCCTTCCTCCAGATACTCTTACTCTCATTCCCAGTGGATCTGCATTTGGTTCAGGAGAAGGACAATGGACAGATGGACACAGTGGATCTGTGAATGGCCCCCAAGCCTAGGCCTCAGAGTAAAAGGGATGGGAATAGAATTGAGCAAATCACACACAGATTCAGATAAGCTGCTGCTGATTGTTGACCATCTACACTAATAAAAGAGAAACATGCAAATTGACCATCACTCTGCTATATACTCACCAGCCAATCAGGAGCAAATATGCAAATTAACACAACAAAGATGGCAACCATGGAGCTGGAGCGAGCAGGAGGCTTGGGTTGCCCCTGGTGATGGAGGAAGCCAAGCTTCCTGCCCGCCCTGGCTGGCCCTGGCCTCCACTCAAGACTACAAAGTTTCAATTATAAAAGATAAATAAACCCCAGATTCCTGCTTCTAATTGGCCCTGGCCTCTGCTCAAGGAGGTGCTGAAAAAAAAAAAAAAAAAAAAAAAAAAGAAAAGAAAGAAAAGAAAAGAAAAGAAAAGAAAAAAGGAGGGGCTGGGAGCTTGGGTTGCCAGGGTGTGTGGCCATCCTACAAACAGCCACCAGCCCCTCACCCAACCTGGCCAGGCACCCCAGCAGGGCCCCCCACCCTGAGGGGGGTGTGGCCAGCCTGAAAACAGTCACTCTTCCTCACCTGTATAGCTGCAGGGGTGAGGAAGAACTGACGGCATCAGGACCTCTGGGCGCTCTGTCCTGGGCACAGGGCTCTGAGCAGAGGTTTGGCAAGGCCACCTCACACCCGGGCTTGCCAGGACAGCGGTGAGCACCTGAGGCCCTGGCACAGTGAACTAGGTACCTGCCTCCTTTCACGCTCAAAGCCGTCCCCACCTGCTGGTGAATTACCCGGACAGGCTGTGCGCAGGCGATGCCCCAGGCAGGGAGGGGAGAGCCGCAGGGCCGAGCTCTTCCACGGCCTCCACAGGTTCTCTCCTGGGCCCGGCTTCGTCCCGGGGTCCTCCAGTCTGGCGGGCCGCGTCTGGGAGTGCCGGGCGCTGTTCCTTCTTTGTAGAGCCCAAGTCAGCCTGGCTTATGTTCTTCCCGGCCAACATGAAAATACCGTTATTAAGTTAGAAGTGGCCTTGGCCAGTGTTTCTCAGTGGTTAGAGCGATAGCCCATGTATCAAAGGCTCATGGGTTCAATTCCCGGGCGAGGGCACATACCTGTGTTTCAAGTGCAATCCCCGCCCCAGTTGGGGCTTTTATAGGCAGCAACCAATTGATGTGTCTCTTTCATATTGATGTTTCTCTCTCACTCTCCCTCCTCCTATCTCCCCCCCCTCTCTCATCCTCCCTTTTTCTATCCTTCCCTCCCTCCCTTCTACTCTCTCTAAAAACCAATGGAAAACAATCCTTAGGCGAGGATTAAAAAAACACGTGGTCATCTGTTCCCTCACACACTCCTGTCTCATCCTGCAGCCGCCCAGAAGCTCAGCGGGAAGGTCAGAATAGCCAACGTCAGGTACTCCGAGTCCTTCCGCAACGCCAGCAGCAAGGAATCCCAGGATTTCCTGGAGCTCTTCTTCAGGATGGTGCGTCGGTGAGATCGTCCTTACTCCCTCGCGGGATGTAAGGAGGGAGGCGGGTGGAAGCCTAGCTGCAGCCCGGCAGGATTCAGACCCTCTTTTCAGAAGGAGGCTGGGACTTCCGGCTCTGGCGTGGGGCCTGGGTGTCCCTGGGTCTGCCACAAAATAGACACAACAGCGGGCGGGAGACACACCTTGTCCTCCGCTGCCTCCTTGCCTCACACTGATTCCTGCTCAGTGCAGCGTTAGCAAGGTGGGGCCCTGGGAGCAGAAAGCCCCCTTTTTAAAAAAAATAACTTAAAAACACATATATATATAATTTTTTACAGAGAGGAAGAAAGAGGAATAGAGAGTTAGAAACATCGATGAGAGAGAATCATTGATCAGCTGCCTCCTGGGGATGTGCTGGCAACCAAGGTACATGCCCTTGACCGGAAATGAACCTGGGACTTTCCAGTCCACAGGCTGATGCTCTATCCACTGAGCCATACCGGTTTCAGCTTTTTTTTTTTTTTTTTTTTTTTTTTTTAAAGTGAGATCTGTTTCACACACCACAGGACTCAGAGTTTTAAAGTGCACAATTCAGTAGTTTGTACTGTATTGTGTTCATAAGATTGTGCAACCATCACCACCTTCTAATTCCAGAACATTTCATCACCCACCCCAAACCCTACCCATTAATAATCACGTTCTATTCCCCCTTCTCGCTGCTCCTGGCAACCACGAATGTGCTTTCTGTCTCTGTGGACTTGCCTGTCCCGGACATTTCTTAGAAACAGAATCATGCAACATGTGATCTTTGGTGCCTGGGTTATGTCACTGGGCGCACTGTCTTCGAGGCTCACCCATGCTGTAGCACGTGCAGAACTTCATTCAGGAAACCGGCTCCTCTGAATGGCCGAAGGATATTCCATCGTGCGGATGGACCGCATGCTGTCTCCCCTTTCACTCACTGGTGGACATTTAGGTTGTTTCCAATTGTCACCTGAAACAATTATTTTCCTGCTCTTTCTAGCCTTTCCTCTGCCATCCCATCAGCATCCTTTGGGTGGTATGTTGTTACGCTTCAGTCGGGGCAGCAATCTCAATGTTATTTTTGATGGAGGTTAGACTTCCCTTTGGTGAACAGAGAATACTCTTGTCATGACCTAGTGACTTGCTTGCACAGGGGAAATCTCACGGATGCCGGCTTTTCCTTATTCTGGGCCGTTAAGATACAGAATAGCCAGAGGTTAGCAGCGCCATCTAGTGGTAGAGTGTGAAGACATGCCGGCGCCTTAGCAAACAATGCAGGTGGCCTCACCTTTGATTCTGTTCAACTCTGTAGGCATCACTTAGTGATAAAACGGTCACACAGCCTCCAGGAACCGTCCCATTGAGGTTCTCCAGGACCTGGGCCTCCACATTATTTATCCTGGGACCCCCAGCTCCTGGTCCCGTGCGTGGATTCCGGAGCTGTTGGTGGTTTGATTCCTTCACGTATCGATCCATCTGCTTTAGGTTAAAGATAGCTACGCTGAGATGAAGCAAACACTGAAATCAGTCCACAGCGCTCTACGGGTCACATGAGGGAGCTCCATTTCCACCCTGAGCTTCTTGATTTCCTCTCTAAACTGTTTCCTCATTTGTCTATTTTTGGGGGATAATTTTTGTTTGTTTACTTAGAATTTCAGGATAGAAAATAAGTGTGCCACTTAGCACATGTGTAGGACTTTAAGACAAGTTTTGGGATGTTGTGGGTTAATTCAAGGTAATTGTGGGTTACCTTGTTCTTTGTAACTGCCTAGCAAGGAGCCTGGAACTTGATTTGAAAAGCAATTGAAGGTGGCATTGATCCAAGACTGTGACAGCTCCTTCTTAGGAAGTCCCAGAAGAGCAAAAGAGACCGAGAGAGGGAGAGAGAAATAGATTATAGATATATGATTGATAGCTAGCTAGCTAGATGATAGATAATAAATACATAGATGATAGGTAGGTAGATAGAAATATAGATAAATTGATAGATAGATAGATAGATAGACAGCAGTTGACTGTTCAAATCATAAGAATGTCAGCCATGTGACTGCAGGCAGCTCCTGGTCTCGGGCCTCTGCAGCCCCGGGTGGATGACACTAGATTGCTGAGGTTGACTGTCCCCAGGCTGGGAAGTGAATCCTGGGCTTGAGCGCCTCCTACAGGGCAGAGGTGGCAAGGCTTTCTCTGTGAGAGCAACTTCTGGAGGTGCAGGTTCCATAGACGGCTTCCATCACGTGGGCCCCGTAAAGCTCATCACCATGCCTTCCTGGGCATCTCGGTCACGATGGGCTGGCCCGGAGCGATACCGCGTGTGGTGTCAGGTGCTGTCCAAAGCGATGGAATAAGAAACGGCTTTCAGAGGCAGGAACAGCCTGCCCCTCAGGGTGCTCCCGGGAAGCAGTTTTGGGGAAGGTGGGGAGGAGGATTAGAAGGGAAATGTGTCGTATCAGGAGCAAAAGGGTTATTCTAAGAAAAACCAAGTGAGGGAGCACTCATCCAGGGCCCCGCCCCCATGGCTCTGAGCGGAGGGGGGCCGATCCCAGGTGCCACTGCGAGTCCCCATACCACGTGAGAAGCCTGGGGTAGGGCTTTTGCCCCCAGCTCCATGCGGACAGCTGGTTGGTCAGGGGCAAACAGGGCTCTCCTCAGAGCTCAGACCCAGGGCACTGGGACTGGGCCGGGCCCCACCTGCGGCTTGTCCTGCTGCCGCCTGCCGTCCCAGGAGGACTTCTTTCCACCGGCTCCGTGTCCCCGCAGGTGCGGGAGTCCCTGCCGCCGGCCATGTGCCAGCACCTGGACACGGGCGGGGTGCGGCTGGAGGTGACACGCCTCGCCAATGGCAGCGTCCTGGTGGAGTTCGGCCTGCTGATCGTCGCCGACCTGGAGGCCCAGGCGGTGTCCGCCGCATTCCTCGCCGCCTTCCAGAACGCCTCTCTGCTGGAGGTGGTCGCAGGGGACACCGTCATCTGGGGTACGTGCTGGTCTGGCCGGAGGGGGGCTCCTCCGGGCTGGACCGCGGGCCAGCCGGCGCCTAGCTGCTGCCTTTATTTCCGAAAGACGTCGCTCCCCGTGCTCCCTCTTCAGGGCCCCGGGCGTTAGATGGAAATGGGAAGCAGGATGTTCCTCTCGCTTTTTGCTTCTATGTTGTTGTTGTTGTTTATATTTATGACTTAAGGGTTGAGAACAGCTCTCCCCCTCCCCATGAACCTGGTGGCAGGCTGTGTCCCACCCCCGCCCGTTTCCATGGGCCCAGGGCAGACGGTCCCTCCCTGCAGCCAGACTTCCTTCAGAGCACGGTTGCCAAGGAGACCCTAGAGAAAATAATTGAAAAGCAGGGAGAAAGGGCAACCTCCATACTATCCTCAGATCGTCTCAGTCAGCTCGAGCTGTTGCAATAAAACACCGCAGAGGGGGGCTCACAGCGGATGCTGGCGGCCAGGAGTCCGGGATCAGGGTGCTGGCCAGCCTGGTTTCTGATGAGGGGCCACTTCCTGGCATGTGTCCCCAGAAGGCGAGCCCCGTGGTGTCTCCTTGGGTGAGGACACCGTTCCCCCCAGATCAGGACCACTCCTCGATGACCCCCTCTAACCTGAATCACCCCTAAGGCCCCGTCTCCAGACACTGTCGCGGGGTTGGGGGGCGGGGGGGTTTAGGGCTTCGACAGGTGCACGCTCAGGGCACAGTTCCGTCCACAGCACATGTCCTACTTGAAAACCGTGATAGAGGGCTCCGAGACCCGTGTAACAAATCAAAGACAACATAGACGACTGTTTCTCTGAATTTGTGGAGTAAGACATGTTTTCCAAGTTGAAAAGCAGAAGGAAAACAAGCCCACGGCAGAGAAGGCTGGGATATTTGATTCCATGAAAAGGCAAATCTTTTACGTCACACAAAGTAAAGGCGCCCTTATAAAGCAAGCAACAAAACAAAGCACAGTTTTAATAATTCGATGAAGAATTACACCCTAAATAGAGAGAGATCACACGCATTGATCATATCCATTTTGTTCAGTAGGTCTGCGTGGCTGTTAGTAAGTGAAGTAACTGAGCATAGAAACCGAGGGCAGGTGAGGGCCCGAGGCCCAGGGCTGTCTTGTTTTGGGGCTGCTCTGCCTGAGACCAGGGCTTGGGTGGGGCCTGCTCACCTCCTGGCTGCTCTGGTGTGACACTGCTTTGCCCAGTGTCCCCCCCACCCCACCTGCCTCCCCCCTCGCTGCAGCCCGGAACCAGGGATTCTTCCAGAACAGCCCCTGCAGCCCGCTGACACCTGCCCCACCCCACCCCTGTCTGCAGAACTGCCCAGAACTGATCACTTTGATGATTTTTAACTTTCTCTGGGATGTGCTTTCCACGGGGCTGTCTGTAAACAGCCGGCAGGGTGCCCTCAAGCCCCTGAGAATTCTGTTTGTTCCCTAAATGCCGCCCAGACTTCGATGAGTGTGAGAGGAGGGAGGACGACTGCGAACCCGGCACCACCTGTCGCAACACGCTTGGGTCTTTCACTTGCAGCTGTGGGGGAGCTGCCCCCGCCGTCCCTGTGGAATTTTCTGGAAGGCCCTGTGAAGGTAATGCCCTCCCCGTCCCTTTTCTGGAATACTGTCCTTGATCTGTCCTGCTCAAAGGAGCAAAGGGCCTCTTTTCCAAATGAGGTCGGCCTATTTTATGTCCTGGGCAAGCTTCCTGGTTTTTGTTGTTGGTGTTTGTGTGTGTGTGTGTGTGTGTGTGAATGCACATGTAACATGTATGAGTGTGTATGAGTACATGTGTGTGATGTTTTCCCTTCACATTCTCTCATGTGTCTCCAGCCTTCTCGGTGGTGCCTCATATCCCCAAATGATTCCTCTGATGACTGAGATGAGAAAACACACTCAGAACTGAGGTGTGTTTTCTTGCAAAACATATAGCCCCGTGGTGGGCAAACTGTGGCTTGCGAGCCACATGCGGCTCTTTGGCCCCTTGAGTGTGGCTCTTCCACAAAATACCACGGCCTGGGCGAGTCTATGTTGAAGAAGTGGCGTAGGAAGAAGTTTACGTTTAAAAAATGTAGCTCTCCAAGGAAATTTCAATCGTCGTACTGTTGATATTGGGCTCTGTGGACTAGTGAGTTTGCCGACCACTGGGCTAGCCCATGACACAAGCACCATGAACGAGACGTTTCTCCCCAGCCCCTGTCTCCACTCAGCACTTCCGATGGGGCCCAGGGGGAGCCAAGCCCCGCCCAGCCATCTGGGCTGGCAGAAACGTGCAGCACATGTGTGCGTGCGTGCGTGTGTGTGTGTGTGTGTGTGTGTGGCTGTGGCTGGAAGGTGCAGTTCCCAGGTGTGAGCTGCAGGTGCAGGGGCTCCCATGGGCTCTGCACCTCAGAGCCAGCTTCACAGTGAAGCTCACACCGCAGTTCCCAAACGCAGACCCACCTGCCGCTTGTCTCCTGTGCCCTGTAGGTGACTCCTCCGGTAACACAACCCAGGCGCCCGGGCCTTCCCGGGGCCCCGGCCCAGAGCAGCCCCCCACCCCGGCAGAAACCAGGGCTGCCTCCGTGCCAGGGGCCAGCCCCGGCCCCCCGGAGCCGCCCGCGCGGCTGAACCTGACGGGGGCGGTCAGGGTGCTCTGCGAGATCGAGAAGGTGGCCATCGCCGTGGAGCGGCGCTTCCTGCGGCAGGAGGCCATCCCCGAGGCCTCCCTGTACCTGGGCCAGCCGTCCTGCAATGTGAGCGACAGCAACAGCACGCACGTGTTCCTGGTGGCCGCGTGGAGCGAGTGCGGCACCCTCGTGCAGAGCGTGAGTCCCGGGGCGGGGGGGGGGGGGGGGGGTGTCCGAGCTGTCTGACCTCGATACAGGAGGACCCGCCTGACCTGGGGCCAGGAGATCCTCTGTACCCCAGGATCCTGCCTCTAACGGAGTCAGGAGAGGGCCGGGCTCTCACTGCAGACCGGGCTGCCCCTCCCAACCAGGAGGCACCTGGGAGCCCCACCCCGCAAGGATCTGGTGCAAAGGGCCTGGGGCATGTGTGAGAGTCAGGGTGCAAAGCAGCCTCTGGTGAGTCTGATGCACAGGCAGAGCCAGTGGGGAGGGAAAGAAGGAGGGAAGCTGGAGCCTATGTGTGCATGTGAGCGTCCATGTGTGCATGTGAGCGTCCATAAGTGAAAATATGTATGTGTGAATGTGTGTGTAGCTATGGTTGTTGGGTGTGTGCATGTGTGAATGTGTGTGTAGCTATGGTTGTATGGGTGTGTGCGTGTATGAATGTGTGTGTAGCTATGGTTGTGTGTATGTGTGCGTGTATGAATGTATGTGTAGCTATGATTGTATGGGTGTGTGCATGTGTGAATGTGTGTGTAGCTATGGTTGTGTGTATGTGTGCATGTGTGAATGTGTGTGTAGCTATGATTGTATGGGTGTGTGCATGTGTGAATGTGTGTGTAACTATGGTTGTGTGTATGTGTGCATGTGTGAATGTGTGTGTAGCTATGATTGTATGGGTGTGTGCATGTGTGAATGTGTGTGTAGCTATGGTTGTGTGTATGTGTGCATGTGTGAATGTGTGTGTAGCTATGATTGTATGGGTGTGTGAATGTGTGTGTAGCTATGGTTGTGTGTATGTGTGCATGTGTGAATGTGTGTGTAGCTATGATTGTATGGGTGTGTGCATGTGTGAATGTGTGTGTAGCTATGGTTGTGTGTATGTGTGCATGTGTGAATGTGTGTGTAGCTATGATTGTATGGGTGTGTGCATGTGTGAATGTGTGTGTAGCTATGGTTGTGTGTATGTGTGCATGTGTGAATGTGTGTGTAGCTATGGCTGAGTGGGTGCGGGCATGTGTTGGACGCTCTGCCATGGGCAGAGCTGTCCAGCTCCTGCGGGCAATGTTCCCGCAGGCTGTTCCCCAGTGGGTCTGCCACCGTGGTGGGCGAGGGGCCGGAGTCAAGGCTGCCATGTCTGCTCCCTCCCTCTGCTTTTCTGAGCGGGGCAAACACCTGCTAGGCAGTTACATCCCCTGGGTCAGGCCTGGTCAGAGCAGAGGGAAATTCATCTCTGATGAGTCATGCTGCCCTGGAATCCACACACATTCTCGATGTGCTTTGATGTTTGTCAAAAGCTCAGTTTGCCTTGAAGACATTTGTACAAACATGATGGATTACACTCAGCAGGTTCCACCTGCCTTTTTATTTTTACTAAGAAGTTTACATTTTACTGACTCCCCAGGTTAAAAGAAAAAAGATCACAGCCCTAGGCGGGCTGGCTCAGAGGACAGAGCATCTGCCCACAGACTGGAAGGTCCGTGGTTTGATTCTGGTCAAGGGCATGTACCTTGGTTGCAGGCTCCCTCCAAGCTCAGGCCCTGGTCAGGGTGTGCGCAGGAGGCAACCAATTGGTGTGTTTCTCTCACATCGATACTTCTCTCTGTCTTTCCCTCTCTCTTCCACTCTCTCTAAAAAAATCAATAAAAAAATATCCTAGGGTGAGGATTAAAAAAAGAAAAAAGAAAAAGGTCACATTTCTCTTGATAGTACTATAAACGGGTCATGCAGCTATGACTATGAAGAGACACAAATTCACTGATGCCCCCAAAAGTCTCGCTTGAGTACAGAATCATCTTCGTAAATCCATGTAAGATTCTTGCCAAGTTAGAAAGGGATTTCCCTGTTTTTCCTGAGATATTTTGCAAAATGCTGCAAGGCACAAAACCATCACCATTGTGAAGATTCATCCCAGACCCGTCCTCCCTGTATCTGGTGGCTCTCCTCCCGCCCATCAAAGACTTGGCCTCGGGACTGAGATCAAACTAAGAGGAACGGGAGTTTGTTTGGCTGAACAACCCCCCCCCCCCCCCTGGGGGGCCTGTAAGCATCTCAGACAATTCCTCCCACATACAGAGCTACAGACACAGGCCTTTTTCAAAGAGACCAACACAAAAGATTGGCACAAATTCAAAAACAACGAAAGGCTTCTGGGAGGGACCCATCCGCTGAGAACTGTACACATTTGTCCCTGGAAGCCAGTGCATCGCTAGTCACCCCTAAGGAAAATGAATTCTGAACATGAAGCTGGTTTTCAGGAATCCAGATTTTGCTGTTTATATAAAATTTTAAAGCAAGTCCAATAGCTATCGAAGATATGCTAGTGGCTCTGATGTATTCGACGTTACCAAAGTTTGTCCAGGCCCGTTTCATACACAGCAAAAGTTCATTCGTCCTATAATTGTGTGTTCAGTAGCAACGGAGGAGCTGCAGAAGGGGAAAGAGACTTCTCTTCAGTGGCTCCCTCTTCAGAACATTTGAAAGCCGCCCTTTCTCCTCACACTCCGTAAGCCTTGCCCCTACAGCAATCTGCTCTTAAACCCTCTCACGCTGGGGCCTGGCTGGCCAATGGACGTCTTATCTCTCATATTCATGGGTCCCATTAGTCCTGTGAGCCCAGGAACTTTTATTTTCGGCAAACGCTGCCCTGACAGCCCTATCGGGGTCAGACGTTGTGTGTTACAGTGCACAGCCAGCCTCTCTTGTGCCTCCTCTGAGAAGTCCAGTGGCTTCTGCTGTTCTTGGCTTGTGTTTCCAACAACTCTCATGGAACTTGTTCCCTGTCCTCCGGGTTCAAAACACCCGCCCCTCGTTTCCTCCTCCGCCGATGGTTCTGACTTACTGACTTCACACCACATCTCCCTGGTCTCGTTCTAACCCCGTGAGGCCGAGGAGCTACCCGCAGGGCAATGCCCACAGCGAACTGCCACGGGCTGCTGGTCACCACGGCAGGTGGCCAGCTGCCCTCCGAGGGCCCTGTGCTCTGTGCTGGTGACAACGTAGGGGTGTCAGTGAGGGGGCACGGGAGATCTGCCACCGTGACAGTCAGGCTCCAGGCCTCGAGCCAGCAGAGTGCTTCAAACAAATAGTTAGAACTTCAGGTATTTTGTCCAAAAGCAGACTTCAGCGTAATGATGACACCCACTTTCCCTCCTCCCTCCCGCTCAGGGCCTCCGTCTGGTTTCCCTGTCTGGCTGCAGCCTCTTAGAAAAGCCCATTCCCAGGCCTGCTGTCCGCAATCGCCTCCTCTTTCTGCTCAGCCTGCACATGCCAGCAACCAGGCCGGAACCCCAGCAGGCCTGGGAACGTGCCTCTGTGTGCTTGAAGCCAATTGTTCCACGCCTTTGTTTATGGTGGAACAGGGGTGCGGAACCTCCGTATAAGGCCTGAGGAATGATTCGTTCTGGCCCTGCCAAGGCAGCGAGAGTGACGGAATTAAGTGTTTGACCCGTAGAGCAGGCTAATCTTTAGGTGGATCGTTTCCTATGGCCCTGGAATGACGTGATAAATACCCTGATGGCTCTTGGCAGAGGGAAAGCTACCACCCTGGTCACGTCATTAACACCGACAGGCTTAGCATCTCCGGAGACCAGGCCCCCAGTTTAGCCATGTTGTCACTGCAAATCCTCATCCTCATCAGAATCACCCCTACCGAGGTCCTGATGGGGCCCCGTTCTCTCCTTCCATTTCTCTTCTGGGTCTTGGCTTGGTGTTGTTTCCAGACTAGAGAGTTTAGAAGAAGTGCTGGCTGCCTCGGCCTCAGGCCTTTACCAGGTTAACTCTTGATTCCTCCAGGGAGGGCCTTGTGCTCTCATTTCCAGAAATGTTCATGGGATAATCTGAGGGGGTGAGGGGGAAGGTTCGGATATGTTATTGTGGGTACCCCCTGATTTAGGCCGTCTCTATTCTCCTCCAGGGAGGAAGCTGGCATGGGACATAGGTAGCCAGCCCCTGGACTTCCCTCTCTCTATGACAGTTTATGTTAGAAAAAAAATCATTTGGGTTTAAAAAAAATATTTTATTGATTTTTCACAGAGAGGAAGGGATAGGGATAGAGAGTTAGAAACATCGACAAGAGAGAAACATTGATCAACTGCCTCCTGCACACTCCCTACCGGGGGTGTGCCCACAACCAAGGTACATGCCCTCGACCGAAATTCAATCTGGGACCTTCCAGTCTGCAGGCTGAGGCTCTATCAATTGAGCCAAACCCGTTAAGGCTCACTTGGGGCTTTTATATTCTTTTGGGGAAAACTTTTAAGAAGACCCCTCCCCAGCACCCCTATTAAGGTCCTGCTGGGGCCCAGGAGCTTGCTCACGCCCCATCTGGTTTGTGCTCAGAACATGACGGACACGGTGGTGAGGACCACGCTGAGGAACGACCTGTCCCCCGAGGGCATCATCCACCACCTGAAGATCTTGAGCCCCATCCGCTGTGCCTTCCGCAACGACCTCCTGACGTCATCGGGCTACACCCCGGAGTGGGGGTGAGTGGAGAGGCACCCCCCTTCTCCCCAGCATGCATTCCTTTCCAGCACCCTCGCTGGGGCTTTCCTTAAGGTTCCCATCCCTTGAGGATCTATCTGACAGACTGAATACACAACGGATGGTGCCAGGACTTGGCTAATAATGGCCAGCGTTCTTCAACCTTGTTCCCACTTCCGACTCAGGACCGACCCGAGGAAGCCATATATGTTTCTTTAGTCAACCACATAGGACATCCCACTTAGAGCGAGCCTGTCCATGGCTTCTCTGAGTCTCCCTTTCCCCGCTCCACTCTACCTGCCTTTGAGTCTCCATCAGTCAGGGGATAGGACCGAGCCCCAGCTGCCACCAGCTCAGAATAACCAGCCTTTCTCACTTATATTCTCATTGGGGTTTTATTTCTACACTTCTTTATTTCCACACTTTTTGAGGTGGCTTTTCAGGGAGCAGTGAGGATGGGCCGGGTCCCAGGAGGGAATCTCCAGCAAGCTGCTCCCTCCGCAGGGTTTACACCATCATTGAGGACCTCCATGGTGCTGGGAACTTCGTCACGGAAATGCAGCTGTTTATCGGGGACTCCCCCATACCTCGGAATTACAGCGTGTCTGCCAGTGACGACATCAAGATAGAGGTGGGGCTCTATAAACAGAAAAGCAACCTCAAGGTGGTCCTGACCGAGTGTTGGGCAACGCCGTCCAGCAACGCCCGGGACCCGGTCACGTTTGGCTTCATCAACAACAGGTAGGGGTTTGGGGGGCCCTTGGGCATCACTGCCCCATCGCTGGTGGCCTGTGTTGGGTCCTCTGTATTTCCAGTCTTGTGTGTGCATGGGCCTGGGTTTTGCGTAACACCCCACAGGAGACCCTTTCCTTGCGGGAACTGGAGATCTAGCCATCCTTGCTTTCCAGGGAGCCTGGTGGGGATGCTCCATGTGCAGCCAGATGTATTGTGACTCTCTCACTTTGGAACCAGGATAGCAGGACCAATTTATAGCTAACTAGAGGCCCAGTGCACAAAATTTGTGCATGGCGGGGGTTGTCCCTCAGCCCAGCCTGCACCCTCTCCAATCTGGGACCCCTCGAGGAATGTCTGACTGCCCATTTAGGCCCAATCCAAATAGGATCGGGCCTAAATGGGCAGCTAGACAACCCTCTCACAATCCATGACTGCTGGCTCCCAACTGCTCACCTGCCTGCCTTCCTGTTTCCCCTAACCACTTCTGCCTGCCAGCCTGATCACCCCCTAACCACTCCCCTGCCTACCTAATTGATGCCTAATTGCTCCCCTGCCAGCCTGATTGCCCCTAACTGCCCTCCCGTAAAGGCCTGGTCACCCCTAACTGCCCTCCCCTGCAGGCTTGATCACCCCCAACTGCCCTCCCTTCCAGGCCTGGTCCCTCCCAACTGCCCTCCCCTGCTGGCCATCTTGTGTCCACATGGGGGCACCCATCTTTGCCCACTTGGGGGCAGCCATCTTGTGTGTTGGAGTGATGGTCAATTTGCATATTACTCTTTTATTAGATAGGATGAGTCACCTTTTTTTCTCCTCCCAGCTGCCCCATCCCCAACACACATACCTACGTGATTGAGAACGGAGACTCTAACAAGGCCCAGTTTAAGCTGAAAATTTTTTCCTTCATCAACAACTCCATAGTCTACCTGCACTGCAAACTCCGCATCTGCATGGAGACCCCCAGAGCCACGTGCAAAATCGTAGGTGTTGGCTGTTCTAAGTTTTTGTCGTTATGAAGAGGGTTTCTGTGTTATCCAAAGCCCAGGGTGTGGGTGGCTCTGAGAAGAGGTGCTGGGCCCCCTAAAAGGTGGGAAATGGCATTTCAACCGTGGGCAGCCTTTGGGGCAAGGCTGGGGTAGGGGCAACATAGCTAGGTGTCACCTCAGTCCTTCTTGAGGCTACCCCATCTGCTGACCCTCACATCAGAGCTTCCTTGTCATGAGGCTGTTGTACTTCCCAAGGTGATTTAATGCATATTTAGGTGCAAAAGCATTATTTTAATTTCACTTTATTTTTAGCTGCTTTGACGGAACACTGCTGATTCGTAGCCACTGTGACATTCAGTCAGGTGCTTTTCCTTCCCTGTGTGCAGCATGCATGCTGGGATTATGAATAATTTTACATCCTCATTTTCTTTGACCTTTGAATTCAAAATGTGCTTTGCAGACCTGATATTAGAAAGCTCTCCTTCCTACCAGTGACAGGAATGAGAAGTGACTGTTGTATGGTATCTGGGTCCAAGGACAGTGTAGGGGGCTCTGTTGGCCGCTGGTCAGACCACTGCATGCCTCTCTCTCTCTGCACGTCTCCACTTGACCCTGTGCTTTTCCTAAGGTTTTCCTGCATAATCCACCTCTGAGCATCAGTAGGTCATGGATGAGCAAAGTCCAGTGATGGTCGTTTTTGTTGATGTCACTTTTATCCAACAGCAGATCTGCTGGAGCACCAGGAGGAAAGGGACACAGGCCGATGCCCGCCAGCTAAGGGCACGGATGAGCCTGGCCCCACAGAGATGCTGAGAGTATTAATAGCCACAGTAGCACCTGGCCTGTGCAGGGAGCTGCCAGCCCCCAAGTTCTTTACAACATGAGCTCCACACATTTCTCCCCAAGTTCCTTGTGGATGGACATGGGATTGGTTTCCTGTGGCTGCTGTACAAAGTGCCCTAGAAGGATTGGCTTAAGCCAGTGGTCGGCAAACTCATTAGTCAACAGAGCCAAATATCAACAGTACAATGACTAAAATTTCTTTTTGAGAGCTAAATTTTTTAAACTTAAACTTCTTCTAATGCCACGTCTTCAAAATAGACTCTCCCAGGCCATGGTATTTTGTGGAAGAGCCACACTCAAAGGGACAAAGAGCCGCATGTGGCTTGTGTTAATGAACCCCCCCAAAAACAAACAAACAAACAAACAAACAAAACAACAACTCCACATTGAAACCTATAAAGAATTTTGTGAGTTTATTTGAGCCAAACTGTCGACATACCCTGGGAAGCAGAACCTCAATGAATTGAGATAAAAATGTACCAAAGCTTATATTGATAGTAGGAGAAGACCAATGTGTAGCCAATAAAGCATTAATTTCATGATCAGACCTGATAATCAGAACACCATTGTGTGGTAGGTGGGAAAGATTAGCAGGTATCCAAGTTAAATTTTTCTTATCTATTAAGGGAGGAGGTCTGGGGAGGCAGATATTGTTTCCACTAGGGAACCATAAGGATAATAATAATATGAAAATCATTTTATATACATTCAATCAATAACAATCAGATGATATAAAAACAAGGTTCAAGCAATATTCAGTTTGTGAGCACACAGGCCTTGTTGACGTTGTCTTGGGATTGCTGTCTGCCTCCGTGGTTGTCAGAAATGGGAGTAGACATCTATTCACAGTCAGGTGCCTTTTTAAAAATGAGAAATGTTAACCCATGAGCTAACTCCTTTAAGTTTAGGTGCACATGGGTTAGTTAGTAATACCTGGTAAGGTTCCCTCCAACAAGGTTGGAGAGTCTTTTATTTGGTGTCTTTTCTAAGACACAAAATCTACTGTTTGTAAGCCGTGATCTTTGAAATCTCCGTCTCCCGGGAGTGCACTGTGAAATGAATCTGTTACCAATTTGTCAGTTTCTTTAAGTTGGTTAATAAGCCCTTGACAATAATGTAAAAAGTACAGGGAGTTGGGCCCCTACAGGTAAAATAGGTTTCTGATTGGGTCCAAGCCATATCTGTCTGTCTTTTTGTTGCCATATTCTCTTTTCATCTTCAGTGGCGATGTGTTGAAACTGTAAAAGATAATCTTTTATTGATTTAATAAGAAGTAAAGAACATTCTCAGGTTGGATAACTTGCTGTTCAGCATCAGCAAAATGATTTCCTTTTGCTTCCATGGTGGTGAAATGCCCTGGGACTTTTATAATTGCCAATTGTTTTGGTTGCTGTATGGCATCTAAAAGTTCTGCGACCAGTTTTCCATTTTTTTTTTTTTTTTAAATGGGCAGCCCAGAGGAAGTTAAGAAGCCTCGCTGCTTCCATAACATTCCAAAGTCATGAGCTACACCAAATGCATAGCGACTATCAGTGTAGAGATTGGTTACCTGACCTTTGGCCAATTCACAAGCCCGAGTCAAAGCAATGAGCTCAGCTTGCTGGGTAGACCTGATTCCAGGCAGATAAGAACTTTCAATTATACCCACCATGGAAGTTATGGCATATCCAGCTCGGAAATGTCCTTGTTCATCCTTTAGATAGGATCCATCTGTGAACCTAATGAAGTCAGCATATCAATAGGAGTTTCCTGTAAATCATTCCTAGGAGCAGGAAGGTGGTCAGTAAGAAAACACAATTGTGGGTGTCTCCATCCTATAAAGAGGGTAACAACATGGCAGGGTTAAGGCGATTATACCTAGTTAAAGTAATATTAGGTGCAGAGAGCAGGAATACTTCATAAGAAGCCAGTCGACTGACAGAGCAGTGTTGAGTGTGATGAGAGTTCAGCAAGGATTCAACAGAATGAGGAACATATATAGTTAAAGGGGAGCCCATGACTATCTCTTCTGTCTGTTTACATAACAAAGCTGTAGCTGAGATGGCCCTCATGCAAAGAGGAAGCCCTTTGGCCACTGAATCTAGTTGCTGACTATAATACCCTATAGGTCTATGGTGGTCTCCGGGTTTCTGAGTTAGAACTCCTAAAGCATTGCTCTTACTTTCATGTGTGAAAAGGAAGAAGGGAAGTTTATAGTTTGGATGCCCCAGAGCAGGGGCTCAGGACAGTACCTCCTTTAGAGTCTCAACAGCTTGTTTCCGTTCAGGGTTCCACTGAATTGGATAGGTGTGTCTGACTTTAACAGGGCATAGAGAGGCTGGGCTATCAATGAAAAGCTTGGAACCTAATTTCTACAATATCCAGTCAAGCCCAGGAATCGTCTAAGCTGCTTTTTCTTTTTTGTTTTTGGAAGAGGGAAAGGTAGGATTCCTCTAAATCCTTCCAGGTTAAGCAGTAGCCCATCCTTTGATATGAGATGGCCAAGATATTGTACTTGAGCTAAGCAAAATTGAAACTTATCCTTTGAGACCTTATGTCCCTTTACAGCTAGCTGTTGCAATAAGTAAATTGTATCCTTTTGAGAGTCTAGTATGTCCTAGAGCATACAAGTAAATCATCCACATACTGAATTAGAGTGGAATCTCTAGGAAATTTAACATCATTTAGATCAGCTTTTAATATCTGGGAGAAATAGGTGGGAATTTCTGTATATCCTTGGGGGTATCACAGCCCAAGTAAATTGTCTATCTTCCCAAGTGAAAGCAAAGAGATATTGACTGTCCTTTCCTACTGGAATGCTAAAAAAAGCACTACATAAATCTATTACTGAAAAATATTGGCAGTCCTCAGGAATAATTGGTAATAAAGTATGTGGGTTTGGAACCACAGGGTGTTGGGGAATAACTACCCTATTTATAGCTCTGTGATCCTGCACAAATCTCCACCCTTTCCCATTTGGTTTCTTTACTGGAAAGATAGGAGAATTCTAGGACTTGTACATGGAATTATAATTCCTTTTTTTCTTTTTTTAAGTAATCCTGTGTAATGGGCTTAATTCCAGCTAGTGCATCAGGTCTTAGAGGATATTGGCGAATATTAGGTAAAGGCAAAGTACTATCAATAGTTATTTTAATAGGAGTGGCTGACTCAGTCTTGCCAAATCTGCACTGGAAGGCGCCCAAAGTTGCATTGGAACTTCTTGCAACAAACGTTCAGTTTCAAGATTATTTTCCTCTGGTGAAAATTCCTTTAAAATCATTATTTTCCAAGTTGGTTCAGAATCTGATTCATTTAGTTCTAAATACATTTCACCTTTTTGGGAAAAAAGAAATATGAGCATTATGGGTTTCAAGAAAATCTCTCCCTATCGGGTGAATTGGGGTTGATTTGACCAGTAAGAATGTATGTTGCCCCGTTACATCCCCTAGTTGAAAGGGGACAGGTCCTGACTTAAAAACAGTCATTGGTTGGTTAGATACCCCTACCATGTGTACAGAAGCTTTGCTCTGAGGGAGAGGGAAACTTAGATGGGTAGGGTTAAGAAACGATGAAGTGGCCCCAATATCCACAAGAGCTTTAGTAACTTCTCCTTTTGTGATAATTTCAGTTTTTCCTAATGTATTAGTAAGGAGAAGGGGAAGTACCCTCTCATAGTCCTCGGAGCAGCCCTATGCTTGCTTCTGTCTGTTTTCTCTTTTCAAATCCCATTTCAGTTTTCTACTCTTTCTTATGGTGGCCTGGCTTTTTGCAGTAAAAACAGACTCTTCTCTCTCCTTTTCTAAGAGACTTTGGAGTAGAACTGGCTTGGTTGTTTAATTGTTGAAGCTGTAAGTTTATAATTTGGGTAACTTTATCTTTTTCTCTCTTTTGGATAGTTTTAGATAGCTGATCAGCCATAAGAGCCAGTTCATCAGCATGGGTAGTCTGCCAGTTCGATTTATGTTGTTTGATCAGAGTTACAAGTTCTTCATCTAGTCCTTCCCAAAATGCTGAATTTAGTAAGGGATCCTTTTGATGATGCTTGAAACTGTCTGGTGACAGAACTGAATATTGTTTGAAAGTTTTTTCAAAACATTCAAAGAAATCAAGCACTGGTTCATCAAGCTTTCTTTTACATTGCTGGATCTTGGTCCAGGCCATTCTCCAAGGAAAAATTTCAGGTATGGCTTGATAAAGCCGGTGGGCCAATTCCCTACATTTTTCCTCTATCTCTTTCTGTTTTAAAAAATCATCTGCAGGAGTATTCCAGCGAACCTTATTCAGCCATTCTGTTGCCTTGCTCTCAGAAACCAGTAGGTGTATTCATTGGAACAGGTCAGAATAGCCAGGATCATATGCTCTACCAGTTAAATCAAATTCCTTTGCAAAACCTATTTGGTCCTGCAGAGGGTCAGGAAAATCTTTAGTTGGGTTTCTTAATTCTGTTCTAGTCCAAGGAACATATACAATTGCTGGATTCCCCTCTACCTGAGACAGGCTTTTCCCGGAAAGATGTTAGAATTCTTGAATCATCTTTCTCTGAGTTTGTATTCTCATTTCCCCCTAGATCAGCAGGGAATGGTGGTTGAGGGGATATAGAAGGAGGAGGAAGAGAAGTGGAAGGCAAGTCTACACAAGGAAGCTCAGAGAGGAGGAGCAGTGAGAGGGGGAGGAGTGGGGTCTCGGCACTTATTATACTTGCTTCAGTGGCCTTCTTCAGTTCAGAGACAGTCTCCAAAATTTTCTTATTAACGTCTTGTAGGGAAGATATTTTATCTGATCCTCTCCTAGAAGCCTCTAATTTCCAATCAAGATAAGCTTCCCATTCATTTAATTTACTTTTAGAGCCAGCTTTTTCTAATTGAGTGCACAGAAAAATCAATTTGGGGGTGTCAAAAGTTCCCCTCTTTGGCCATTTCAAATTGGTATCATTTTTAGTTAAATTTTCCCATTTTTGTAGATACTTGCAAATTGAAATTCCATATGAATTGTACATGCACCCTGCTGGAGTGTTAACAGGGGCTGGAATTCTTGGGGTTTAGCAACCAAAGGTGCAATTTCCCATCTTTTAAAATTTATTATTATTATTGAATATCTGCAGTCTGAGAAAAAATTTTAGGGGTGTTATATAGTGGGTTGCAAAATGTACTGCTTATGGGTTGAGCTCCATGAGGCTGTCACCCCTCATGTTGCAATTCAACCCTCTTACGTGCCTCGGTTTCCCTTCTGGCTGTTTCAGACAGCCAGGAGGGCTCAGGGCGCTGGCTTACCAGGCCTTATGGATGCTCCCCGGATGAGCCAGTCAGTTAATTACAATTGAGTTGGAATTTCCCTATGGGGCTCCTTCAAGTCGTGAGGGATGACCTCTGACACCTCCACAAAGGTTCTTAGTTGCCTAAGAACACCTGAGAATCGGGCAGGAGGGAGAATGTGCCCCTTTTTTCTCTGGAGCTGAATGAGTTCAGCTCTCATAAGTTTAGCGAAGGTTTTTGCTAAGATTCTCAGAAAGCAATTCCAATTGAAGAGCCAAAATAAAAACCAGCCACCCGTGTTTTCCTCCAGTCTTGCCTTTACTTGGGTTCTATTAACCCTTAATCTTAGTTCCACCTCAAGGATTTTAGAATACAGCTCAGATAAAGTTAGACCCTCTATCAAAACAAGGGAAGGTCCTGGATCCAAGAGACAATTCACCCAAATTCACCTGATACGGCGGGAGCCAGCAGGGCTCAGTGGGTCGCTTGCTGGAGTCTGAGTCTGCAAGATGATCCTCGGTGAGCGTCTACAGCAAGTAATGTTTACAAAACAAAACAAAACAAAACAAAACACATTGCAACCTGTAAATAATTTTGTGAGTTTATTTGAGCCAAATTGTTAACATATGCCAGGAAGCAGAACCTCAATGAATTGAGATAATGCTCCGGAGAATGGAGGGTTACATCTATATTTATACATTGCAATCAAAGGATAGGAACAGAGGTGAGTTACATGAAATTCATTGGTGATAGATTAGGGAGGTGGGATAAAGCAAAGCAGGGAAACCTCTGGGACAGGGCAAAAAGTGAAATGATGGACATATGCTTCTCTTACAGAGATGGAAACAGGATACTTTAACATAATTAACAGTAGACAATTAATTTGATAACAATAATAATGAGGGAATGTCCCGGTGCCATTGATTGTGCCCTTAGGGGTCCGGGGTAAAAAGGAAGTTACAAGTTACCCCGACATCTCACAGATATGTTATCTTAGAGGCAAAAAGGCAAATGGGCTCAGTAAAGAAGATCTAAGCTGATCTTTGTCAGGGAAAATATCGGCCTAGGACATGATTACCCACTATAACCTGCTTGTAGTTAAATATTTCATTTTCAAACCACCTTTTGTGGTTATTTTAGGTCTCTGAGTTTGCAAGACTGCCACATAGACCTCCCCTGAACTATGTCAGGTTAGCATGTGGCTCCTTTCGTCCACACTTGCGAGCCGCAGTTTGCTGACCACGGGCTTAAGCAATAGAAATTCGTTGTCTCCCAGTCCTGGAGGCTGGAAGTCCAAGACCAGGGTGTGGACAGGGCCGGTTCCTTCTGTGGCTGTAAAGTAGGGGTGTCGAACTCAATCAGAGAAGGGGCCAAAATCTAAAATCCAGCCTAAATCGCGGGCCGAATGGTTTACTGAACAGTCATAAACTGTCATTGTGATGGAAACGCAGCGGAGTGCAGTGATGACAGCGCGGTGCGGGCCACATTGCAAGGCCTGGCGGGACGGATTTGGCCCGCGGGCCTTGTGTTTGACACATGTGCTGTAAAGGATGATCTGTTCTAGGTCAACCTCTGAGGCTTGTAGAAGCCCATCTTCTCCCTCTATGTGTGTCTGTGTTCAAATTTCCCCTTTGGATAAGAACACAGTCATATTGGACCGGGACCCACCCAAGCGAGCTCATCTTAACTTGAACATCTGCAGAGACCCTGTCTCCAAGTAAGGTCGCATCACACATCCTGGGAGTTAGGGCTTCAACATCTTTTGGGGACATATGAGCCCACGGCGGGGTTAGGCAAAGGCATGGAAAGGAGCACGTGGTGGCTGCAGGCTGCAGAGATGCGAAGGTGACTCAGAGCTTTGTTGAGATAGGGCCCTGAACCAAGGGGCCAAGGGACCAGCACTGGTAACTAGCGACAGCTCGAGGGGTGCTGCCTCTCACTGCTCTTGTGCACCTCCTTGTCCAGGTGGTCCAGGTGGTCTGGGTGGTCCTGGTTTCCCTGGTGGTCCAAGTGGTCCAGGTGGTCCAAGTGGCCCTGGCGGTCCTGGTTGTCCTGGTGGTCCCGGTAGTCCTGGTGGTCCAGGTGGTCCTGGTGGTCCTGGTGGTCCTGGTTGTCCTGGTGGTCCCGGTAGTCCTGGTGGTCCCGGTGGTCCAGTTGGTCCAGGTGGTCCTGGTGATCCTGGTGGTCCCGGTAGTCCTGGTGGCCCAGGTGATCCAGGTGATCCAGGTGGTCCTGGTCGTCCCGGTGGTCCTGGCAGTCCTGGTGGTCCAGGTGGTCCTTGTGGTCCAGGGGGTCCTGGTGGTCCCGGCGGTCCTGGTAATCCTGGTGGCCCAGGTGGACCTACTGATCCTGGTGGTCCAGGCCTCTGCAGCCCTCCTCCCTGGCTGAGCTCATCCATCGCGATTTCATGTCTCCAGCAGGAAAGAAATCTATGAATCAGGGAACCATGCCAGAGACTGGGTACGTTTCTCATAAATGTTGTTCCACTAATTGAAGTTTCTCTCCTTTAAAAAAACAACAACACACAACAGAATTGCAATGACTTTCGGTCGCTGAGAAGCGGTGAACCATCTGAAACACACCAGATGTCCTGGGGACCCCTCATTCGGTCTGACGGTGAGTTGGGGGCCTTGGTTTAGAAAACTAAAGAGAAGACACCACCAATCCCATTTCAGCATCATGTAAACCAAAAAGCAATCCCTTGGAACACAGAGCTCATAAGATTTTCCCTAAAGACTCGTAAGAGTAGTAACAATGCCGGCAAATGCTCATGCAGAGCCCCGACTTCCCAGCACTGCTCCGTTCTGTACCCCCAGAGTGTAATTTGCTCTTCTCAGCAGCCCTGCAAGGTCAGATCTATTACCGTCCCCAAGTTGCAGATGGAAAGACTGAGGCTTCAGCAAGTGGGCACATGTTTAAATAATGCATGTTTGGGTAAGGGAAGGCAGTAAAGTTTCCTGACGCTGGATAATTGCATGCAGGGGGTTGTTACCAGGAAGGCACTCAGTTTATATGCCGGCCAAATTCTGTATATTTGCATGTGTGTGCGTGCAGGTGTGTGTGAGTGCGTGTGTGATGTGTGCATGTACAAACGCATGTGAATGGGGAATCTGTTGTATTTTAGGCTTCGCTAAATCAGAAGATGCAAAACAAAACAAAAAATGGCACTGTTGTTCTCTCTCAGTATAAAACTTCCATCAGCCAATGTGAAACTATGAATTTTCTATGAGTTTTCTAGGAAGACATTTTCCTTTCTTTGTGATCTATCCTATTTTTATTTTTATTTATTTATTTATTTATTTTTGTTAATCGTCTCTTGAGGATTTTTTTTTTCTATTGCTTTTTCAGAGAAAGTGGAGGGAGGGAGTGGGGGAGAGAGACAGAGAGAAACCCAGATGTGAGAGAGGCAGATAGACGGGTTGCCTCCCACATGCACCCTGGCCTGGGGCAGGGAGCAAACTGGCAACCCAGGTATGTGCCCTTGACTGGGAGTCCATAACCCTTTGGTGCATGGACTGACATTCCAACCACGGAGCCACACCAGCCAGGGCTATCCTATTTAAAAAAAAAAAAAAAATGGTTGGGGAAATGGTGTGCTTTGGGTATTAAGACAAAAACTGCTAGCTGTTCCCCAGTATCTGTTCTCCTCTCCATCCATAATAATAAAACCCCAAGTTTTTAGCTGGGAATAAAAACTATATATTTTTAAAAAATATAACCAACCTGGCAGCCAGGTGTGGCCATATGAGTAAGTGCTGGGCAATGAGACGCAGATGGGGAGGGCTGCCTCCTCAGAACATCCCGTGCCCCTGCTTTACCCCGTCGTCCTCCTTACCTCTCCATCCTGCTGCCTAGAAGGCAGGCCAGACGGCTGCCGCCAGTGCCCATCCTGGGCCGTGAGGACCGCAGGGACAGGAGCTGGACGAGCTGGGCCCCTGAGGGCATTGCAGTGCGAAGCTGCTGGGCCAGGTCTGGGCTCCGACTTAGCCAGCTTTTATGCACGAAAGAAATAAACTTCCACATTCTTCATCACCGTTACTTTAGGCTTCCTCTTTTTTCGCAGCTACAGTTAATCCTAATTGTTGGGAAATCCTACTATTCCCCTTTTTTGTCGTTTTTCTTCCTCATTTTGATGGCCCTCCTCCCTCTCGATATTTTCCGGGACAAGAACATCTGTGTGTGGGATGCGGGGTCTGAGCTGGGACGTGCGTGCGGATCTGGAGTTGGATAGGCATTCTCAGCTGCTGGTTCTCATCCAAAGCAATTGGGCAATGCGCACTCCACAGCTTTCAGGCCACGCCCGGCCTCGCGTGCCCTGGTGCTGGGCGCTGGGCCTGGGGTTGGCACTGGTCCTCGGGTGGCTTTGGCTTGGGTCCGAGGACAACATGCTCTTCCTATCCTCCTCACTGTCTTAAGTTGCTGAGCAGAGCTGGGGCCCTCATGCAAAACGGAACATATGTGCATTGCATTGCCATGCCTGTACATGCCTCCTGTTTATTCATAGATATTACAGATGATGTAAAAACCAGAGTGGAAAAAGCTATGGGCTTGGCATTAGGAGACCTGAGTTTGATTTTAGTTTGATTTTGGCTCTCATACTTAGGAGCTGTGTGGTCTTGGGAAAATTGGTGAATCTTCTGGATTTTATCCATCCACTCATCCACCCATTTATTCACTCACCTATCCATCCATCCAACTGTTTATTCATTCATCTATCTATTATCCTTCCATTCATCCACTCACCTACTCATCCATTCATCCTCTAATCCATCTATCATTCTACTCATCCATCCATTTATTCATTCATCCATCTACTGTCTTTCATCCACTCACCTACTCATCCATTCATCCTCTAATCCACATGTGTCAAACACAAGGCCCTCGGGCCAAATCCGTCCCGCCAGGCCTTGCAATGTGGCCCGCACCGCGCTGTCATCACTGCACTCCGCTGCGTTTCCATCACAATGACAGTTTATGACTGTTCAGTAAACCATTCGGCCCGCGATTTAGGCTGGATTTTAGATTTTGGCCCCTTCTCTGATTGAGTTCGACACCCCTACTCATCCATCCATCCATCCATCCATCCACCCATCCATCCATTTATTCATTCATCTATCTACTGTCCTTCATTCATCCACTCACCTACTCATCCATTCATCCTTTAATCCATCCATCCATCCATCCACCCATCCATCCATCCACCCATCCATCCATCTATTCATTCATCCATCTACTGTCCTTCCATTCATCCACTCACCTACTCATCCATTCATCCTCTAATCCATCCATCCACCTTCTTATTATTTCATCTATCCACTGTATGTCAGGCACTGCTTTTTCTCTAGGACATGGATGTGTACCTCATTTTATCCATTCATTCTCTGATGGACCCTTGGGTTGTTTCCACCTTTGACTGTTGTGAAGAGTGCTGCATTGAACATGGGTTGGGAAGTAGTTATGTGAATCCTGGTTGTCAGTCTTTTGGATCCACATACCTGTGTGCTTTGTGGGTTTTTGCCTCTCCCCGGGAAGATCAGCTCGTACTCCTCCACTGTAGTGTTTGAGCCAGTCCCGCTGAGCCGTCCACCTCTTCCCGGAGGGCCTCCTGCTCCCACATGGCCTCCTCTTCTGGGCCAGGGCTTATCCCGAACCCTGAGCAGGCTGTTCTGTGCTGGCTGCTGTGCTCTCCCGGTCCTCAGACACCTTACCTTCCTGGTCAGCTGTGGGAACCCACAGGTACATGGGCACACACCTCACCGCTACAGTGCTTCGGATGAATCACATTCAGACGATCATGCTACAAAGTAGCCGATAAAGGGGGGAGCTCGCTCTACCCAGGCTCCTCCTGAGCCCCATTTTACACTCACAACAACACCTCAATGCTGGGACCAGGGGGGGACCAGAGGGGTGCCCGCCCAGGGACTCACTCTCCTCCTGTTTGGGGCAGACCTCCCACCTGTGCCTGTTTCATCCCCTGCAGGTGAGTCTCCAGATGTGCAGCCAGGCCTGGCCCCCGGCTACATCGTCCTCATTGTGGTGGCCGTCTTTGCCGTGGTGACAGGGGTCGCTGCCCTTCTCATTATGCGCTACCAGAGGACCACCGGAAAGTACAACTTCAAAACCCAGCCGGACGACTTCAGCTACCAGGTGTTCCAGGACTAGGGGCCCTGGCTGCCCAGAAGGTGGGTGAGCTGTGCAAGTTTATCCAAAGGTTTAGCAGCAGTGCGGCTGCTAAACCTCTGGATAAACTCTACTCTAAGTTTGTAGAAAGAAACTAGGCTTGCTGTCCTCCCAAAAGCAAAAGGACCTACTATACAGTATACAGAAATGATTTAATGCCTTTTCACAAGATTCCAACTCAAGCTTTGCAAAAGCTGCTCACGCACGGTGCAGGTGACCTGCTTTCGCCACCGATGGAGGCCACGCAGTGTATCTCCGTGGTTTTGGCAAAAAGTGGATTTGTGGGCGTCAGCATTCTGTGCCCGTGATGTATATATGGTAAGACACATGTACTTGGTCTTCGCTCCCTTTTCCTGGCTTTAGAGTTCCCGAAACCCTTGGCTTCCCGAAGCCATGGAGCAGGAAAGGTGTCTTCTGCTACACTGTGAGGTGACTTTTGGAAAGCACCCAAGGGTGGGGCTGGTTGCCAAGAGACCCAGCCATGTGATGGGAGGGTTGGAAATGTTAGTCCCATCGCCTGGTGTTGGGGGAGGGGAGGAGGGGTTGGAAGTTGAATCAGTCACCAATGGCTGATGATTTAATCAAACAAGCCCATGTAATGACACACCCATAAAAAACACACAAAAACTATGGGGTTTGGGAGCAGTTATCTAAGATATCCTCAATTCTCAAGATGGGGTGACAGGGTCCAACAGTGGACTGAGCGGCTGTTGGGGTCAGGAGGAAAGCTTTCCTGGGATCTCTGAAGCCTCCTGCGAATTGGTGTCTTCTGCGCCCCCCCCCCCCCCCCCCCCCCCCCCCCCCGCCGAGGGACCCAGAGAGGGGAGTGGACAGCAGCAAATTTCAGCTCACCTGACACTCTAGCCATAGAAGAGGACCTGCTGCAGGGGGGCGCCTCCGTCTCTGGGTGTCCCCGGGGTTTGGGTCATGAAGACCCTGTTCCACCCTGTGCCCTGTCCGGGTAGATGCACCCCGTTTCCTCACTGGGCCAGCAGCGTCCGCAGCCAAGGCCTTCTTCCCTGTGCTTGGCTCCTTAGTCTCTTGAGGTAACAGATCTTCAGGACAACTCAGCAGAGAGTGATAGATACCGGCCACATCCTCAACGTGAGCAAATCGGTCCCAGGGAGCAGAGGCGGGTCTCAGCACACTCCCCCCCCCCCCCCCCCCCCCCGCCACAAGCTGGCACTCCTGCCGGGGCCCTTCGTCTCCCCCAGAGATGGGGGAGCTGTACGAGGTGTGGGTATGAGGAGGTGCTGGGTACGAGGAGGTGCTGGAGAGATGCTGTGTGGCTTGTCCTGCCCCTCTGCTCCGAGGACGCCCGGCAGCTGTGTGCCCGTGATCCGGGGTCTGGGAGCCCTTTCAGCCCAGATAGACGGAAGGGCTAGGCCCGTGGTTGGCAAACCACGGCTCTCGAGCCACGTGAGGCTCTTTGGCCCCTTGAGTGTGGCTCTTCAACAAAATACCACGTTCAGGTGCGTATGTACAGTGCGATTGAAACTTTGTGGCCCAGGCGCAGAAGTCAGTTTTCGGCTCTCCAAAGAAATGTCAGTCGTTGTCCTGTTGATATTTGGCTCTGCTGATGAATGAGTTTGCCGACCACGGGGCTAGGCCAGTCACTCCCCTGGGGAGAGGATTTCCATGGATTTCACTTAGTATGTAACATGTAAGTCCCCATAACCGGCCCATGCTTGTCCTAAATGCCTTAGGAGAGCTGCGTGTTGATGCCGGGTGTCCCCCTCCTTGAAATGAAAGCACCGAGGGAAAATGGTGTTTTACTTTTATCCTTCACTTTTATTCTCCTGGGGCTTCTGTCTTCCACACTGGAAACCACCTATAACGAGCTTTCAGGTCTCTGCAAACCTCAGCTCTTTGAAAAACGGTAAACAAACCACCACCCCTCCACACACCAGACAGGCACGTGGCACAGGAGCCCCGGGTCTGAGGGAGGTTCACAGACAGCACAGAGACACAGGTCCCTGAGGATGTGCTGTCCAGCTCAGGCTCAACTGCCGCTGACGCGGGGGGCCTCACCCACAGAGTCCAGGCCACAGGCACATGTTCCAGATCCTCTGTGCCTCATGGAGCTGCTGTTCCTTTATTGGTGCACAGTCCCTCACCCTCAGCCAGCGAAGCAATCCTGTCCTCAGGGCTGCTGGCAACCCTCCACCCCCATGCTCCAGGGGGTTCCTGTAGGGACCTCTCCTTTGCTGCAAGCTGCTGATCCAGGTGACCTTTCCTACACAGGTCACCGTGAGTCAAGCCCGGGTCTTCAATCATCACACACTGACGGACGCCTGCTCTGCCCCGCATTTGGATGAGCCCCGGAGATGATGACAGCATCACCTCGGCCTGCCCCAGGAGGCTGGTTATGTAGGTTCTGGACAAGCAGGCCAGGGAGAGGAGCTGATGGAGAGGTGGGCATGGTGTTGGCAATGCCGGCAGCTCCAGACACAAGGATCTTCACACCCAGCACGGACACAGCTCTGCCATCCCAATCCCAGGGCTCCCAGACCCTTCACCGTCCCATTTTGTCCATGTGGCCCTTCCTGGTTTTGCTCCCCCTTGACATTCATCCTTTTATCTATCCATCTTACCATTCATCCAGCCAGCCAGCTATTTGATACTTGTTGTCAAATACGTAATATTTCTAATTTTCCAAGGTATTTGACAGTACACTTGAAGTTATTTTTTAACAATAGGTCAGCAATAAATATATTGTCTAGTGGACATACATGCTCTTACTTTTCTCCTGCATTACCAGGATATTATTTTATTCACACAGTGGTGATGCAAAAGCCACCATTAATAGGAAAAATCTCTATAATAAGTAGAAATAACATAATATATGTTATTCTTTATATTTTTCAAAATATTTTCTCAGCCATTAAGATATAGTCCTACTACAGGGGGAGGTACCACTTAACTATTACACCATGGGAAACCAGAGAAGAAATGGGTGCGTTATTTACTTAAAGTCACAAAATGAATTCATGAGAAAGTGGGTCTAGAACCTAAATATTAGTATAGAATTTTCTTCATTACACCACGCTAACAGATAATGCTTGTTACTTGATTTAAAGCTAATTGAACTGTATTGGATAGTTAACATCTGATTGTGTAGTGTTTTTCCTTGACGAACTTGAAATTGTAACATGATCTTTAGTTCTGAATTCATGAGATTAATTTTGTTGAGTATAATTAACTACCACTTATTGAAACATCTGGGAAAAGTGAGATTTCTAATGTGCTGGATATTCTCGGAGTCAGTAAAGAGTTACGATACGCACTGTTGCGGATAACCAGATTTGAACAAGTAGAATAAACTGCCTCTGACATTGAAACGTTTGTGCCTGTGCTGGCTGCTCTGTGGTTCAGGTGCTCAGCTCGCATCCGAGAGGGCCTAGGGCTGTGCTGGGCCGCGAGGGGAGACTGGGAGCCTGTCTCTGGCTCTTCCTGAGCCGTGTCCATCTGCCCGGATACCAGCTCAGGTCCAATGGCATGCTGTCCTCGAATGAGAGACAACGCACATGCAATGACCCAGGCTCTGAGCCCTACGATGGAGCGGCTTTTGGGTTTCAGAGCAGATGTGCATTTTGAAACTCCAGCTTTAAATCTTCTGCAGTTTTCATGTCATCTCAAGAAAGATTCTACATTTATTCATTTGTGTTTCCGTGAGAACCTGGCCTCCCCTCATCTGCCCCAGGGACAGGGTCACCTGTGTCACCTTTAACAAGCATTTCCTGAGCCCACACCGTGCTCCAGGTCTTGGGCTCAGAGCTACTGATGAAACTGTGAGAGAGCAGACTGAGCCCTGCCCCCATCCAGCACATGGTCTTGTTGGGGACAGAGACACATCGGTAGCTGATGACGTCCAGGACAAGTGCTGAAAGGGACAGATGCATGTGTGCTGTGAAGTACCCCTGACCTGGCCCATCCATCTACTCACCCAAACATTCACCATTCACCTCTCCACCCACACAGCCACCCACGTACCCATCCATCCATCACCCATCCCTTTACCCACCCACACACCACCCATCCACCCATCCACCCATCCACCCATCTAACAAAGGACTGTTTGCTGAGTTCCGGTTCTTATACCGACACCAGGAAGACAAAAGGGATGTGGTAGACTCCTTGCCCTTAGGAACCCAAAAGCCACCTGGAGAGAAGTCCCGGTGAAGACCACAGCCAGGGAGGCCAGGCCCTTGCTCCTCCAGGAAAGACGTAATTGTCTTGCTGGTGAGGGGTGGGCGGGAGGACCTTTGAGGACCTTAGAACTCAGCGTACTTCTGAGAGGTGGAGGGAAAGCCGGGGCCCTTGCCAAGGCAGGTTGGCCTCTGGCAGCTGAGGGTCTGAGTCCTGGGTAGTTCTCATGTTCAGACACCACCGGAGGCCCCAGGTCCTTCTCTGCCCAGGAGCCGGGGCTGCGATTCCCTCTGTGGTGGCGGGTCTGCTGGAGGCAGAGGGTCTGATGGAGAGAGTTAGTTAACTGTGTGGTCCTCTCCCTCTCTGGCCCAGGCGGCACCACCCCTTTCTGACCACTAGATGGCGCGCAAGCCAGGGCAGGAGATCCCTCTGTTTCCTCAGCCTCCACAGACCTGTTCTTTTCTTTTGCCTGATTCTGCCTCTTGCCAACAAACAAAAGGGAATTTGAAATCATTCCGCAGGGCTTTGGGGTCCTGTGGGGATGGGGTCCTGGGTGCCCTGGAAGCAGCTCAGAAACTGACATTGGTCATTCAGGGTGGACAGACCCTGCATCTTCAGAACAAGGAGTAATTGGTGGCTCTGGTCACTGGGCAAAGCAGGTGTGGCTCCACTCCCTCCCCCAACTTCCCACCAAAGGACTCACCTCCTTCCCCTCCCTCCTGCTCTGTTTCCGGGAGGAAAAGGGCAGCCTTGCCCAGAGCCAGTCTCTGTGGGTGTGGCAGTGTCCCTGGGTGTGGCAGTGCTCCTGGGTGGGAACTCCGGGAGGGACGGGGTGGCTCCTGCAGCAGGTTCTCAAGGTCTGAGAAAAGCTGGGGATCTGGCCGATGGAGGAGGCACACGTTAGGGTTAGAGCAGAAGTGCTCCCGGCTTGGATTCAACTTTGGCATCTTTGGGGGAATGAGTGCTGGGAAGTTATGGTCACGCAGGGAGGGAGGTGGGCAGGGCACAGAGGAGAATGGCAGCCCCACTGGCTGCCACCCCCTTCCCCCGCTTAGTTTCCCCCTCCCCCCCCCCCCGACTCCAGACGTTGAGCCTTGGTTGGACAGGAGGGTCATTCTCACTATCAGATCTCATCTGACCAAAGTCATTCTGATGGAAAGTACCTGACTGGAAGGACTCTGCTGGGGGCTCCTTAAGCCAGAGGAAGCTCAGAGTTCGCACCCCACGGCGTGGCATGTGATTGTCGGGGTGATGGGGAGTGGAGAGATGGTGCCCTTAACCTCTCCGAGCCTCGGTTTCCCTGCCTGTAAAGTGGAGATGGTCCTCGCCTAGGTGAGGGAGCCTTGGGTCACAAGTAATGGAAACATCAACCCCCACCGGCTTTAACAAACAACGAAGGACATTTTTGGCCGACTATAAATGAAAGTCCAGGTCCGGGTGAGCGTCAGGGGAGGTTCGAGCCTGCAGATCTCAGGGACCCTGGTTTGTCCATCTTTTTCTCTGCGTTCGTGGTTTCAGCCTCAACAAAAAGCTCCCTTTTAGTCCCCGTGAGGAGTAGTCAGGGCGACACACTTCTTCTTTCAAGTCTAGCAGAAGAAAGGTATGTCTCCAGCCAAAGGGGCTGTGACTGTGTCCATCAACACCTCCTGGGCCGTGTCCCTCTCCCCCGGGCAATCCCTCTGGCCAGGAGGCAGATGCTGGGTGTGGAATGATGCAAGGCCTCCACACCAGCTGGGGGGTCTCCACAGGGCGCCTCCCTCCCCTGCTGGCCTGCAGCCAGGTGACTCCTGTGGTGGGAAGGGAATGAGGTGGAGGCCGGGGAGGAGGCGGCCTCAGGATCAAGGTCACCACCTCGGGCTTGTCCACGGTCCACTCTGGTCTTGGGCTGCTCGGCCTTCAGATCCCGGGGCTCCCTGGCTCAGGTCCTGCGCTCGGGAACATGGCCTGGGAGACCAGCTCCTGCTTAGGACATGGAGTCCGGTGTCAGGGCAAGAAAAAGGTCTCATCAGCAGCCTGATGGAACCATCCAGAACATGCCATCCAGACCCACATCGCTCCCACAGTGAGAGGGTAGGCCCATTCTGGCTTGGGGTGGGGACGTTGTTTTGTAAGGAAAAGCCCCTTTCCACTCCGGGAATGTTCAGAGTCAGAAGCAGGTGATGAGTGGAACCCGTCGTAGGAACTGTCCTGTCAGGTTCGGGGCTCGTCTGTTTCCGGTGTCCACGAGGCCGGGGGAGGAAGGCGGTCCGGGGCTCCACAGCTCAGCTTCTCAGAATGGATCCCCTCAGGAGCACTGGCTCCGGTTTACAATGTGCAGCTCCCCATGGGCTGTGGAGTCCAGGCTGAAAGATGGAGGAGAAACAATCGGGATAGGTCAGTGGACTGTGCCCTGGAACCGGGGAGCTGTCCGCTCCTACCTTCTGTCCTTCAGGTCGCTGGAGTTTTTAAAGGGCAGGTGCCACCCTGCAGAAGCACCTGCTAAAGAAAATCAAACGAGTAACGAGTTTGTAAACACCGTTAAAACGCATGCCCAAGGAAGTTCAATGAATAGGGCGGACTGGTGACGAGGGTGTCCATCCCCGGACTCCACCCGGCTCCAAATGCTCCCTAGAAAGAGGAATTTTTCAGAGTTCCCCGATGGATGCAAACTACGCACAACTAAAGATCCACGCGCTGAGTTTACTTAAGGAAAATAAATAGTCTCTGAACAATAAGCCTCCGTAACTGCATGACATTGTCAGCCGCTGTGAAGGTGTTTTCAGTGCTCAGCAGCCTCCTGGGATCTCTGGGCTCCCGAGGGGCACCTGCTGAGCGGGACTATCCATCCGGGCCCGGGTGTGCCAGACGCTCTTCCAGGTGGGACAGTTCTGGGGCGAGCCAGTGCTTTTTGGATAAGGTGACCAGATATCCCACTTTGGGCAGGATAGTCCCAATTTTTGGAAAGATTCTTTCCAAAACTCGGAACTGTTTTAAAACGCCGCGGGACGAATTGTTAAAAATCGGGACTGTCCTGCCAAAAGCGGGGTGTCTGATCACCTTATTTTTGGGAAGGTGCAAGGTTTGGACAGCCCAGCCTGACCGAGTTAACCCTCTACTGCCCAGGGACCCCTGGGAGGGAACGTGTGCCTGGGGGGGCCCGTGGGCCCTCAGCACTGACTTCTCCCTAAGCCATGTCCTTGCAGCTGGGAGGCCGGCCCCTCCCTGCCTCCAGCTCAGATCTCCTCCAGAGCCTGGAAGTCACCCTGAGACCCGGCGGAGCTGGGCTGCGGGGCTGGGCTCAGCTCCGTGTCCTTGACTCCCGTCCAGCAGGGAGTGTGCCTCCGTCACCGGGGCTGCACCACAGTTCGCACGCCTGTCTCTCCGAGTGTTTACGCATCTTCTCTTAAGAGTAGCTGCCACTGCGCCCGGCTCCGCTAAAACTGACATGGGGTCACCATGGTGACAGGAGCACGTTGGCACTGATCAGAAACAGCCTCCGGCCGATGCGGGTTAATGCGTTTTCCCAGGTTTGATGGGAGACGCTGGGGACCAGATGGAAAACCTTCACAGTCCCCGGGGAATGCAGCTCTCCTCTCCCACAGGTTTCTGTCCCCACGCCCCCAATTCCCAGGCCCCACAAGGCCCCTGGTCCGGGAGAACACTGTCCAGCAGGCTTCCTTGCCCTCCCCCCAGACCCACCATGTTCAGGCTGCCTTCTCACCAAGGTGGTGCCCGAGGATGGCAAAGGCAGGCTCTCCGAGGGGCCCTGGCTGGCTCTCCGAGGCTCCCAGGCTCGGCTGGCTCAGTGCTCTGAGGCTGGCTAGACTCCAAGACCAGCATCCTCAGTGATGTCACGCTTCACATGGACAGGTCACACGCTTTGCTCTGGCACTGGCAGTGATAACGTACAGCGAGTCTAAAGGTCTGAGCACGAGACTGGCCTACAGGGAACAGACACTCATCCCAATCTCCCCCGCCCCAGCCCCCGCGCCCAATTCTGATGGCCATTGTGGGCCTGTGGACTGGTTTCCTTTGAGTGTACACCCACTTGGCACGGGATTATGAAAACATATTTACAGACGTTCCATGGTGCTCCTGTAGTCAGGAGCAAAGACCCTTTACCCAAAGGGGTTATATCTAGGGCTGAGCAAAATTCACAAGGATCAGATCCCTTTGGGAAGGAGCCCAGAGTCCATGCAA